CCTGGTACGCGGGACCATAAATCTTTTGAATTTATAGGTACAGGCTGGCTTGGCTTTGCCGCATTCAATTATTTCCCATAACGGTCAATGTCCGAAGATGCCCTCCGTGAATGAGCATGGGGCCAAGAACGTCCTTGACCACGAAGTCGTATCGCTCACGGTACTAACCCCCCTACGGTATTAGTAGCGCCCCATCCATCAAACAGACCCTCTTCCAAACACCCAATCCCCCAGGTAGTACAGTGGTTAGTGTCCGCGACTGTCAACCATGCGAGACCCAAGGTTCAATTCCCGGCCGGGGAGATTTTTTGCTTTTGGGCTTGGGATGTGAAAATCTCTGCTTTAACAATTTCATCCCTGCAAATTCCCAAACCTCCAAAATTAATTCTCAAACCAAATTTCGAATGTTTGAAAATGTCGGCTCACGCGTCTACCAACGGCGATGATCCGTGAGGACATGTCATTAGTTCAGGATATGGAGGTATGACTTTGCGCACTCTCGTGCTGAGATATAAAAAATTAATAGTCTACCAGGGCTGAAGAGCCGTTTCGGCGACTTTTTCAACCCTGGCCCTGTCTGATCTGATGATATTCTTCACTTTGCATAACCTCGCCATTTTCGATGACAAAAAATCAGAAACGTTCCCTCTCTTCCCTGGATAGAAGGCTACCGCAACTCCGGCGTAGCTAATTGTTTCCTAACAAAGAGGGTGGCCCACTTTTCAACAAAACTTAATTTTAATGTCAAAAACAGCTCATTTCGAAAATTCTATTGGTGTGCAGTCATCCCCAGGCCAGTGAGCGCCGCACCTAAGACGTATCAAACATGCGCTCAACTACTCCCCTATATTGAGATACTACTGGAACAACCTGACGGAAGTTGTGCAAATATACACACACACACACAGACACCATTTTTTATATAGTAGGATTTAAATTAATCTTATAAAGGTTCCCCAACGATGGAGTGCCTCTACAACTTCCGTCGGTGACAGCCTGGTGTACAACCACGGAGCTGCCCGAGAGCCTTTGGAATCAGATTGGCAAACCGACCGGTCAGTAACACATTTTTCAAATAGTGTTATCTAATAGCAAATAAGATAAGATCATTTTTAATCGAACGATTCTTATTTTCAGGTGGCTGTCATCTCAACGGGTGGAATGTCTCGTTTGGAAAGACTTCTGGCAGAATATCCTGCCTGCAAGGGTCGGCAAATATGGGATCCGAAATTCCAGGATCACGAGCTTATCGGGTATGGCTTTAAATGCCACCTTAAAATCTAAAATTTAATTCCAGGGGTTACGGTGGGATCCGGTTCCGCAAGGGCTTCCGGAAGGGACACGGTCGGACTGAACGTCTGGCCCGAAGTATTCACGCGTACTGATGTGCACGGGAATGAGGTAATTTTGGCTGTAAACCCTTTCTAATAAATATTTTAGATTGCTGTGATTCTCATGGATACGCAGGGTACTTTTGATAATCAATCCGAAGTTGATGAATCGATCAACTACTTTTCCACTTCACTACTGCTGTCTTCAATTCAGGTATAAAATGTGTCCCTTAATTTTAACCATATTCTTTTCAGATTTTCAACGTCAACTCAAAACTCGACGCCACCGACTTCGAGTCGCTGAGCAGCTTCATCGAGTACAGCGATATGAGCGGCGACAAAGTTGGACAGCACTTCATGTTCCTCGTGCGAGACGCGCTCGAGGGGCACGGATTGAGCCCGGATTTCCTGGAGAATCTGCTCGGAGGGGCCAAGAGCGCTCCTCGGCTTTATCAGCTGATCGCTGGCTGCTACTACGCCTTCGAGAAGGTCGACAGTTTTCTGGTGGTACCGCCGGAGAACGCTGTACGCTCTGCGGATGGGGAGATCGAGGCTGGGCGTGAGTTTTTTGGATTTGTAAGGTATAGTCGTCCTTGGCTAATTCCGAATTAATCTCTGCAGCCATGCCCGCTCCCTGTATGCAAATTTCAGGCTGTGGACGCGAGTTCTTGAATTTGATGTGCGACGCCGCGCGGCACGTCCTCAAGTCGTTGCGCTCAAATGTGTGATGGGCGGAGCTTTAAACGGGGCTAGCTTCCTTCAATATACCCAGGTAAGTAATTTTTATTGAGTTTAAAATGTTACAATCTCAGCAATATTGACCAAAAATTAATACCAACAATTTCAGGGCGTCTTCAAGGAGATGGAGTCGAAGAATCGCTGCAAAATTGGCAGTTTCTATACGGTGAACTGGCCAGTTTGATTTGAATATTCTTCGTTTAGGCATTCGGGCAGCTATCGCTGGAAACAGCACGCAATGCCGGATTGGAGCTGTTCCGCGACCTGTGGAACAAGGTATAGAATTTTCTTTATGAAAACCGGAAAATGACAAATTTTTAGGAATCAACCTTCGAGATCCTAAAGCCAGAAGAATTCCGTGCGCGCTCGCAGCTGATTTGGAAGCAGGCACTCCAGGCTTACCAAGCGGTTCGGCGCCACGGCACACAGAAGGAGCTGGCCGACGCGCTCGGCAAGTTCGAGGCGGAGCTCCAGGTACTTAAGCTTCGTATTGTGTACGCACGTCTTTAGGAAAAGTGCAAGCCAAGTGGAGCTGAACGCGGAGAAGCACAAGGCAAAATATCTCACCGGAGCTATCCATTCGGCACTTCGGGTGTATAATAAGGCTATTCAGGTATGGACATTTTTCCAACTACTGGTATATGCAAATTTAGCCTGAAATGACGGATTGCCTGAGAAAGGAGTGATGACGATCAACGATGTGCAGGATTCGCATCGACGAGCCATGAAAGAGGCCCTGAACTCTTTCCAAGAATGTAGGAGCATGGCTATACCGTAAAAAGTGTATATTCACAGATTTTCTCCGTTTCTAAAAAAATAGATTTGCATTATTCTAGCCTGCTCGGAATACTGCGCGACTGACTACGACACCGTCCTTGAGAAGAAAAGCACAACTCGTCGAGCTACTCGAGGTATCATATTGCATTCCGTCTTCCAAACCAAATTTCAGGATCGCCTCAACGATGCCTCCATCAGAATACCCAGGAATGGATTAAGACAAAGGGAGAAGAACTTGTCGAAAGGCACCTCGTGGACTTTGATGAACTTCTTAAACTTGTAAGTGGTGTCTTTTGGCTATTTTTGCATGCATTCGCTGAGAAACGAAATTATTCTAGGTGGCGCCACAAATCTTGACCGAAGACGAGGCAGAGAGTGCCATGAAGGATGCGAAAGAGACTCTTGAGACGACGTGGGAGTTGGCGAAGACCGAACTGCTTGAAGAGCTCGCCAACGAACAGCCTAACCTTCCGGTGGAGGCGTTTGAGAAGTACCTGGACAGCCTCTACTCCGGTAGCTTGGCCAGAGGATTGAAGGTGTGTGGCCACTTTATTCGACCCTAATTTGTTTTTCACTGGTATATTGAGATTTCAGGCCTCCGAGACGCAATTCTGGCGCACCGTCGACGCTCTGAGCGTGTCCGCCAGATGGAAGAAGAAGCAGAACAAAAACGCCTGGAGCACGAGGAAAATGTGCAGCAACTGACGGAAGAGATCCAGAAACTCAGCGCCGATGCGAACGCGCTGAAGTCGAAGGACTCTAACGATCGGCTGAAGCTGGAATTGATGAAGATGGAGGCGGAGCAGAAGGAGAAGGAGCTGCAGGAGAAGTGGAACGACTTCAGGAGGCGGAGAAGAGCTTCAAGCACAACCAGGAAGTGGGGGAAGGGCAATTGAGTGAGTTTTAGCTTTCTAGGCTTTTGATTTGATAGAAACCAGATAATGATAAGATTATCATGGCAAATTTTAGGAGCGTTGCGTCGTCAGCAGCAAGAACAGATGAACGACCACCAGAGGCAATGCCAAGAGGAGGCCGAGTGGCTGGCCATTGAGCGGGCCGAGGAGAAGAAGCTGCAGGAGGGGCCCCGTGTTTTCCAGGAGGCCAAGATGGCCCGACTTCAGAAGGGAGAAGGACAACGTTCGTTGCCTGTAAGTTTTGAACTTAAAGATTTGTTCAATTAAATTTTCATTGATTTTTCCATTAATTTTCAGGCTATACAATTCCGAACCAGCCATTGGCATTGATCTCGGCACCACTTATTCGGCGGTGGCCATCTGCCTTGCTGATGAAGTCGTCATGATTCCGAACGAATACGGTAGATACGCTTGAGTTTTTAGGAATTAGATTTTGAGGCAACAAACCACCCCGTCTCAAGTCGCATACATCAACGACAAAATCCCTAGTCGGACAGGCCGCCAAGAATCAGGCCGCCCGAAATTCTGGGAATACCATTTACGGTAGCCTATTTGCGTAATTTCACCTATGCAATTTTCAGAAGTCAAACGCTTGATGGGCAAGACGTTCAAGGACCCGACGGTGCAGGCGAATATGACGATGCGACCTTTCAAGGTCATCAACGCCTTTGGGGACCCGGTGATCGAGGTCAAGCAGGGGGACAAGGTCCATACCGTAACCCCGGTGGAGGTGTCCACGCAGTTGTTGACCAAGTTGAAGGTATGTGGATACGGGGGGCATATTTTCTGACATGGTGGGTCAATCAGAACACGGCCATGAAAAGTCTAAATTCTAATCATCCAATTTTCGGGAAATGGCCGGTGAATACCTTGGAAAACCCGTGAAAAAGGCGGTCATTACGGTACCTGCATACTTCAACGACGCGCAGCGGCAAGCAACGAAAGAGGCAGCTGAACAGGCCGGTCTCGAGGTGCTGCGACTTTTGAATGAACCGACAGCTGCTGCCATTGCTTATGGTGTCGACTATCACCCCGACGAGGAGCGGATCGTCTTGGTCTACGACTTTGGAGGTAGGGGATAACTAGATGCGTTCTTATCTCCCGGTTCTAGGTGGCACTCTCGACATCTCGATCGTCAGGATGACCTCCACCAAGTTCGAGATCATGGCCACAAGCGGAAACCCAAACCTCGGTGGCGAGGACATCAACAATGCCCTCCTCAACTACTGCCTCCTCCGACATGGAGGACAAGGTCATCAAGGAAGACAGCCGTGCTTGGGCCCGACTGCGCCTCGCGTGTGAAGAAGCTAAAATCCAGCTTTCGGCCGCTAAAGAGGTAGAGTTCAGAAAGTCATGCTCAATCCACTATCGTTTCAGGCCTGGATTGAGGTCCCGTCGCTTCTACTCGACTTTGACTACAGCAAGAAGATCACCCGCGAATTCTACGAAGGCATCTGCGCGACGCTTTTGAAGAATCCCTACTTCCGGTTGAGCACGCGCTCCGGGACGCTAAGTCGATGTGATGACGTGAGTCCAAAGAGTGTTTCCTGAGATTGGAGCTTTAGGTGCATGAGGTGGTGTTCGTTGGCGGATCGAGCAACATCCCGAAGGTGCAAGAGATGCTGCTCGAGAAGTTCCCCAAGGCTGGCTGCTGGATGGACAGACCGGAGAGATGGTTGTGTGTGGTGCGGCACTTCAGGTAAGTATCGCTCGTTCTCCGCTCTAGCTCAAGTTCTCTCTCTCTCTCTCTCTCTCTCTCTCTCTCTTAACCTAACGACCGTATTTAGGCTGCCCGCCTTGTCGGCAACTGCAACGAGACGATCCGTTGCATCGACCTCATCGATGTCATCCCGTTGACGATCGGCTCCGGAATGTGGGGCGGAGAAACCACCGTCCTCTTCAAGCGCAACACCTCGTTCCCCGTCAAGAAGACGCTGCGCGTACACAACGCATCCGACTACCAGGAACAGGCCTGTATCACGGTGAGTTCTTCATGAACAAGAAGGCTGCGTCATCTACAAGCAATCCGTTACGCAACGCAACATAAAGCCCGTATTTAGGTGGTTGAGGGCGAGCGGTTCGACTACGGTTTGAACAACTTGCTCGGCAAGTTCATGCTGCCAATCCGGAAGGCCAAGCAGTGCGAGGTGCAAATCGACGTGACGTACGAGATCGACCAGAATGGAATTCTGACTGTGGAAGCGGAAGAACTTCTCGAAGGGACACACGAATCCATCAAGATCGACCGGGAGAAGCTTGGAAAAGAAATCGGTTTGTAACTGAATCAAAGATTTGCATATGTCAGCTCAAATTCCGATAGATAGCTCGTAATAATTTATTTTCAGGTGTTCAACATCTCCCACTATCTGAAGAACTGGAAGCAGTGCGAGGAAGAGGATCGGACGTTCCGTAACAATGTCAGTGCGCTGGTCAAGTATCGCGACACTGCCCACGGTCTGATGTGGCTGACGAATCCTCGGTAAGTCCGAATCTGCATTAACGGCTGTTGGAGAGCGTGTTTTTTAGCGGCGTACAATCATTACTTCAAAAATCATTACTTCAAATCATTACTTCTAAAATCATTACTTCTAAAAGTCATTACTTCTAAAAGTCATTGCTTCTAGTTTTTTCGGCACGTTTGGCCATATTTATGCCCAAAAATACGCTTAGAATTTTAGAAGTAACGACTTTAGAAGTAATGATTTAGAAGTAATGACTTTTAGAAGTAATGATGGGTAGCCGTTTTTAGCTAGTATCCTCCGAACTCGAAGCCAAACATTTAACGACATTTTTTATGCACTGTTCGGGCCCAATCTTAAAAATGTTTTACTTACAGGCCCAACACCTGAGCGTCGATGGCAAACGACGTATCAAAGAGCTCGGCATCGCAGCCTACGAATGGGTACAGGCCAACCGCTATCGCCCGGATGCCGAGGAATTCCATCGTCGCACCATCGATTTGGAGTTCCAGATGAATCAGATCATGGGTTAAGCTAATTGCTATCTTTTTGTTACTTTACGTGTATAAAGTTTTGTTACTTTACCGGTATTACAGTGTCATTTTACAGCGCCATTTCTAACGACTTGTGCGCCCACTATGCATACCAAAGCCTCGATCGCACAGCGCTTTCGACCGAATTTTGCCCGATTCTTTTACCCAATTTCTGATCGTCCCCCGGTGTGCGGAATGCTTAGCCCAATTTTGTTGCAGAGAAAAATGGATAGGGGTAAAGTCCACTTCGGCCGCCTCACGCTGCACGTCCATTTTTTGTTGCAAGAAATTTTCAACGCTTATGGACTGATCCCCCAACGCCGACGTGGCTTTATCGCATTATTCAAGGCTATGGCCGGACAGATACGGGCCATAAATACGCAAATGATGTATGCTAAAGTGCCTTCATACCAGCGGGAATTACAAAGAAAAGTCCCATACAAAATATAAAAACGAGGGAACTTGGGACAGCCTGTAGTGCACCCACTATGTGTTATATCCTTATATATATGTGTTAGTTTATGGATATAGCGTGTGTGTAGTCCTCTGTTCTCTCAGGGAACGTGTAGCTGTGTGTAGCACTGCACTAATTAGATTCAAACCTCCTCTGTAATAGCTCTTCCCAAAACTCCGATCTCAAGAACAAAGTCCGCAAGCAATCGACCAACCTGACTGTGCATTTTCCTCCGAAGACAGAATTATAGACTAGACCTTTTATAGCACCTTAATATGAAAACGAAACATAGCGGGGAAGATGCCAAGGGAGAGGGGGTACGGACTCCTGAAGGAGATCCCTGGGCCTTGGCCCTAGCCAGGCCCCGCCCTTCGCATCTTCGCCTTGTTTTAGGCTTTTGTGCTTTGCTTTTTATAGAGTTGCTAACATCCTCGCGGCCGAGAAAAGTTCGTCCTCGAACTTTGGGCGCGCTCCGCAAGAGCGGAATCGTTCATCTCTCCATCCTCGTCTACTTCTCCATTGTCGATCCCGGTTCGAAAGCTCTTGATACGGTTTTTGTGTACCGTGAGCTTTTGACGTCGGGTACGGCCCTTGAGCTCCACAGTCGTATCCTCCTCTCGAAGCACCTCGTACGGACCATCCCATTGTGGTCCGAGTTTGTGCGCCGTCTCGTTCTTGATCATCACCAATTGTCCGGGAGCGTAGCTTCTCTCCTTGGCCTTCTTTACCTTGTCTTGGTATTGCTTCATTTCCGGCTGTGCCGTGGAGATCCGGTATTTGACTTCATCCCAGATGTGCGGCAACGAGGACTTGAGGATATCGCAATAATCGTCTACTGTGGTGTAGTTCCATCTTGGCAGCTCCTTCAGAAAATCCTCCGGATCGTCCGGCCTTTTCCCAAATAGAACCTCATATGGAGCCTTGTTGGTCGTCTTGTTGATGCTTCGGTTGTGGGCGAACGTGATTAATGGGAGGTACCGATCCCATTCCGTTTTTGGTAGGTTCCTTTCATCCATAACCGTTGCCATCAGCTCCTCCAGAGTGCGATGGACTCGCTCAACTTGCCCATTCGTAGAATGGACGTAGGCCGGGCACAAGTTGTGCCTGATGCCGAAGAGTTTTTGAACTTCTTCGAATTGTTCTGCAATGAAACTGGAGCCCCTATCCGAGACAAGTAACGTCGGGAATCCGTATTTCGTGTACAATTCTTCGTACAGAGTACGCACGACTGTTTCCGCTCTCGTGTCTGCCACCGCTTTCGTCACGACGTATTTCGAAAACGCATCTACCATTGTGACGAAGTAGCGGTGACCCCTTTCCGTCTGCGGCAATGGGCCGCAAATGTCGACGTGCACTCGTTCCCAAGGCCGGGCTGCTGGTTCAAAGCGGCCCATGGGCACTTGTGTCAGGTGGGGTCCAGGTTTTCTTCTCTGGCATTCTTTGCATTCGGCAGTGAATTTCTCGGTTTGTCGTTTCAGTCCGTTCCAGCTATATTTTTGCCCGACGAGCTTTGAAGTGCGCTCGCTCCCAGAATGTGCGCCCAAATGTGGTCGCTGGTGGAAATGACGAATGATATTCTCGTCCACTTCGAGTCTTCCGGGAGAACCACCGTCGGCGTAGTCAGCTGATCCTTCGGTTTTGTATAAAGGATTCCTTCTAGCACAATATAGCGCTGCTGCCATTCCGTGACCTTCTTCGATTTCACTTCCGGCTCATATCCCTTGACGGTCGCTGTCCGTAGGATTTCAGTTATCCATTTGCACTTCCCCTGGGCTTCGCGGATCTGTTCTGGGTTCGGGAGTTCCTCGGAATCTAGGGCATGGATCTCTTCCTTTTGCTCCTCTGGATCCGGTGGATGGCGTGACAGCGCGTCCGCTAACACGTTGTGAACTCCCTTTTTGTACTCCCAGACCAAATTGTAGCTTTGTAACGATAGCTGATATTTGGTCAGCCTTGGGGTAAGGTTTTTCTCCCTGATCAGCGTTGTCAGCGGACGATGATCGGTCCGGATTATTATCGACGCGGCTCCCCAGACATAATTTTGAAAATTCTGGAGGGCCCCGCAAGCAGCTAGAGCCTCCAATTCTATTGCCGCGTATCTCCTTTCAATCTCCGTCAATTTCCGACTCCAGTAGGAAATGACCTTTTCCAATCCGTCTTGGAGTTGAAAGAGGATGCCGGCCAGGGCAATTCCGCTTGCATCAGTCTCGATGATATACGGTAATCCCCTGATCGGGGCGGTCAGGACTGGCGCCGAAACTAGGCGTCGTTTCAATTCTTGGAATGCGTTCTCGCGCTCGTCTGTCCAGTTGAATTCCTCATCCAATTTGGTCAACTCGTTGAGTGGTGCCGCAATCGCTGCATATCCACAAATAAAGCGACGAAAATAATTTGTGGCGCCCAAAAATGATCTGACGTCGGTGACAGTTTTTGGGCGGGGATAGGCATCGATGGCTTTCGTTTTTTCGGGATTGGGTCGCACTCCGTCCCTTCCGATGATCAGGCCTAGGTAAGAGATCTCCTTGACCCCAAACTCGCACTTTTCGAGCTTCAATTTAAGCCCGAACTGCTGCAGCCGCTCGAAAACTTCTTCGAGGTCCTTTAGATGGGCTTCCACTGATGAGCTGACGATCGCCACGTCGTCGAGGTAGGCGACGACGATGGCTTTCAATCCTTGAAGCGCTTCGTGCATGGCGCTCATGAACGTTCCGGGTGCCCCTGTGACCCCCATCGGCATTCGAATAAATTCGTATAAGCCGATGTGGCTCCCGAACGCCGTTTTATGGGCGTCCCGGCGGTCCAGCTTGACCTGATAGAAAGCTTCCATCAAATCCAGCGAGGTGTAGATGAAACCGCCGGCAAGCTTATCGACGAGGTCTCCAATTAACGGCAAAATGACGGCCGCTTTCCTCGTATTGGCATTCAGGGGTCGGTAGTCAATGGCAAACCGTTGCTTGTTCGAGTTCTTTTTCTTGACCAGCACGATGGAGTGACAGTATCGTGATGTGCTGGGCCTTATGAGACCTTGGGCCAGAAACTGCCGAATTTGGGCTTCCACTTCAGCTTGCTTCTCGAGCGGTACGGTCATCGGGCGACGTCTCGGGATCAGATCCTTGTCCAGTAGAGGTATGCGGTGGACTGTTTTCCCCAAGAACTCTCCGTGCCGTCCGTCTGGTCCGATAAAGGCCTGCTGATGATCCAGAATCATTTGAATCAGTCGAGATCGTTGCGCGGTGTCCAGCACACTGTTTTTGAAGTTAATCTTCTCCTTCACGTGGTCCAGAAAGGATACGTTCCTAGGTGCTTCTGGCAAGTGCGCCTCGAAATCGGCTTCTTCTGAAGGGAAGATCAGTGAATTGTACTCTTCGTCCGAGATCGAGTAGATTCCCGCATAATATCTCGGGTAAAGTGTCGCCTCTCCGATAGCTTCTCCAGCTGGAATTGTCATTTGAGCTTGTGTTGGGTTCCCGACTCGGATCCATCCTTCTTGTCGACCCTCCGTCAGGTTCATTCGGTTGCGGAATTGGGTTGTAAATTCCTGCTCAGCCGCGTTTCCTTCAAAGCCCGTCATGACAACTTGGCAATTCGGGGCTGGGATAGGCAACTTAGCCTTGATCCAGGCCACCTTTTTCGGAGGAATTATCACTTCTTCAGGGCAAGGGATCGTCATCGTTAGCGCATTCACTCGCGCTTGTTCTCCGGGTTCCAGCATTTTGACCTTATTCTTGCCGAGATGGCACACTCTCTTCTCCAAGTCGAATGCTATCAGCACTCCATTTGCAGCCAGTTTTTTGAACAAATCGTTTCCGATTAGAGCTGGAAGAGGGCATTGATCGTCTCGTGCAACTTGCATCGGAAAGACCGTATTCGTTTTTCCGATTGTGACGAGGCTGAGAACCTCCCCAAGGAATGTGAAAGTTTCCCCATTTGCCGTCCGCGCAGGTCCTCTTTGACTTGGCTTGAGCTTTGCCGGTTCCGAAATATTTTTGAAAATGCTTTGCCGCATGTAGGAGACCGTGCTCTTCCCAAAACTCCGATCTCAAGAACAAAGTCCGCAAGCAATCGACCAACCTGACTGTGCATTTTCCTCCGAAGACAGAATTATAGACTAGACCTTTTATAGCACCTTAATATGAAAACGAAACATAGCGGGGAAGATGCCAAGGGAGAGGGGGGTACGGACTCCCTGAAGGAGATCCCTGGGCCTTGGCCCTAGCCAGGCCCCGCCCTTCGCATCTTCGCCTTGTTTTAGGCTTTTGTGCTTTGCTTTTTATAGAGTTATTTTTTATAGTTTATAGAGTTGTGCTTAGCACATGTAAGAGGCGTAACACATGATTGCTAATATATGCCAAAGTCTGCAACCTTTTTGGGTTAAATTTTGCCTGATTCTTCTAGGCAATTTCTGGTAGCCTCCATCGTTCGCCAATGCCTAACCGGATTTTGTTGTAGCGAAGAATGAATCAGGGTAAAGTCCGTTGAGACCGGGTCGGCTGATCGGCTGATTCCCGGTGCAAATCCATTCTTTGTTGCAAGAAATTTCGGAGCGCGGATGAGAAAAGAGGAGTCAAAGAGCTCGGCATTGGCGCCTACGAAAGGGGCCACCGCTATCGCACGATGCCGAGCAATTCCATCGCTGCACCATCGACCTGGAGTGCAAACAGAACCAGATTATGGGTTAACAAGGGGTTGGTCGCAGCTCGGCATCGAATTTCGATCTGAAAATTTGCTCACTTATAGAGCTCGACGAGACGAATCGATTGGCGTGGCTTTCAGCAGCAGATACCCAGAACTAACAAAGTTATAAGCATTTTAAGTTTTTGCATACATTTTGCCTGTTGTAATAGAAATAGAATACTGACCCTTTTTGGTACTTTACGTGTATAGACGGGTCGTTTCTTTACCTGTATCACAATGTCATTTTGCGGCGCGATTTCTAACGACTCTAGCACCCCAACTATGCATACCAAAGCCTCGATCGCACAGCGCTTTCGACCGAATTTTGCCCGATTCTTTTACCCAATTTCTGATCGTCCCCCGGTATGCGGAATGCTTAGCCCAATTTTGTTGTAGAGAAAAATGGATGGGGGGGGAGGGGGGGGGGTAAAGTCCACTTCGGCTGCCTCACTCTGAACGTCCATTTTTTGTTGCAAGAAATTTTCCACGCTTATAGAGAGAACCCCCAACGCCGACTTGGCTTTATCGCATTATTCCAGGCTAGTGTTGGACAGCACCCCAAAGAGAGCACCCCGGGGTGCCCTGAAAAGCACCCCGCCCCCCATTGGGGTGCTCCAAAAAGCACCCCGGGGTGCTTTTGAAAGCACTATCTCAAAAACATTTTAGTAAGCTTGGCTAGAAAGTTATGGCGGTTAGAAAAAAACGCCTCGAAATCGACCGCCACCTTGAACAACCTCGAAGAAATGCTACCAAACCACCCCCAAATGAGTTGCAAGCAATTTGGCATCAACTTGTCCGAACTGCTAGAAGATGATGTTCATCTTCTGATTTGGTCAAAAAATAGCCTAATTCATATATTGAAGTCATGGCCAAAAAGCACCCCGGACAGCACCCCGAAAGGCACCCCAAAAGGCACCCCGGGGTGCTTTCAAAAGCACCCCGGGGTGCTTTTTGGAGCGCCCCAATGGGGGGCGGGGTGCTTTCCAAAGCACCCCACTGGGCGGCGGGGTGCCCCAAAAGGCACCCCGGGGTGCTTTTCAGGGCACCCCGGGGTGCTTTTCAGAGCACCCCGGGGTGCTCTCTTTGGGGTGCTGTCCAACACTATTCCAGGCTATGGCCGAACAGATACGGGCCATAAATAAGCAGATGATGTATGCTGAAGTGCCGTGAAACCACCGGGAATTATAAAGGATAGTTGCTTCCAAAATACCTTAAATACGGTTTTAGCTCGTATTTTCAGAACGCCGAGGTATTTTCAGAACGTGCAAATGAACCGCGTTTATAATGTTAGCTTAAAGTTTTATTGCTAAAAAGTAGTTAATTAGCTTGCGGTTCCACACGAACAATGTGTCAGGGGGTGACCAATTTCGGGAGGGCTATTTATTAAAAGAATCCAAAAAGGCGATTATTTTAAAAAAATCACGCTGTGCTAATAACCAGGCGATAGGGCCACATACAAATCCTGAATAAATTTCTGCAAATCTTTTACAGCCTTGTTAATGTCTTTAACAGATTCCGGTCGGCCTTTAACAGGTTTAAGAATAGGAATCAGCTTTGCTTTCCATTGATCGCCAGTTTCACTGCTCATATCCTTCGTAACATAGTTGAGCATATCCGAAAAATACTGCAAGCCTCTTGGCGGTTCTTTTTCCACCTAAACAGAACTTTTTTTCAGAATAGTTCAAGCACAGGATAAGTTCCACGATACTCACAATGCAAGCGAGTTGGTGGATTTTTGCAGCCCATTTATAAATATATAAACAATAGATGCTGTCCCACATCCAGGTGGCTTGTTCGGGCAATTGACGTGAACAATCCTTCAAAGCCCGCCGGCAAAATTCCTGTGATAGTTTTGTTGCTACAGCCATCGGATATCTATTTGGATAACCGAACATCTGAACCGAGCTTTCCGGATGCAATTCATTTGCCTACGATATTATCCATTTCCTGGGAGCAGAAAGTGTATATTGAGCGACTGAGCTGATGTTCCTTTGGTAACTGTTCGTTAAATGCATCAATAGATTCACGATAAAAATTTGTAGCAGCCTCCTAAACCAATTTTCCAGCCACCGACACACATTTGGAAAGCGATCCGGAAAGCTGGCCCACCTCCTCGCCGTACGGCATTGCCTTTCCAGATTTCCGTAGCAGTTCTTCGGCGTTAATTTGCAATGAGAAGCATACGGAAAGTTCGATGAAAAACGGAAATTGCCAGCCCATCAACCATTTCTGAAAATCATTGGGCCCTGGCAAGCACCGATCGGATTGGCCACAATTAGCTTCACCCACCTGAAACATGACGATCGAAGCTTTCGCGCCAGAACGGCAATGCATCGACTCGGCGTGCAGCGCATTTACGATTTCTTGAAAACATTTATCGTAGCTCTCATCTATCAAGAGATATTGTCCGCTGTTCTTATTGAGAGCCCTGCTCACAGCCGTACCGAAAAAGATGCGTTGCGATCTCTGGAATTAGCTTCTGTTTTTAGAGCACAGACTACTTGCACAAATTTTAGTTTGCGCGAACTTACCACAAGTTTAGGGGCAAAACTGGGATTACGCAAAAGGTTACATATGGCCGTGAAATGGCAAACCCACGAAAGTGATATCGGTAGCAAGCTCGTAGCTATGTGCTACGACGTGCCCGCGTTGCTCGTGAAGTTTCTGATAGATGGATTCGCCGCGACGCGCAGAATCCCGATCGAGGCAACCTTCCATTTCAATGCGCAGCAACTCGTCGCGAACTTAAAGGATGAGGAAATCATAATGTCGATTTTCCTAAAATAGCCAAAGTCACAAAAGAAGCTTTTCTGGTGCTTGGCAATTCCCTTGCGAAAAATTGGGCAAAAGAATAATACCAACAAAAATCTTCCACTGCTAAGGTTTTTTTGGCAAATTAACTAACCCGCACTAACTTCGGCAGCTCCTGGCGAAATAATAAAACTTTTTAGAAAACGGCGTCGTCATATTGAATAGTATAAAAAATTCTCCGTCGTTGCACCATCGAATAGGAGTTTTAGATGAACCAGACTATCTGATAAGATCATCTGTTCATTTTTGATGTTGTATATAAATTTTTGTTTCTCTGTAAGATCACACAAATGGAGGCTCGAAAATAATGCGAATTGACGTTCAGCCATTCAGCGCCAAAAAAGAATTTAATGGCGCCGTAATTTTTTAAATTCAGTTGGCTGGCAAGATTGAAAACAAATTTTGGATCATCGAAAAATCTGCACGATTTTGCGCCCGTCCCCTTACAATTTTACCTACTTACCGCCGGCTTTAGCTTCCATCTTTCACACTAGCTTTTTTCCACGAATTTTGGCAAATCCCCCTACTGAATTTTTTGGCTGGTCCCCCATTTTGTCGTCAATTTGCTTGCTTGCTTCTCCCCCATGGGCCCACAATCCGTGATCACATTTTCTTGCGGCGAAAAATGGATCGGGGGTGAAGTCCACTGATTCCGCGTCGGCTGATCGTAACGAAACCAAGGCAACTTCATTTGAGGAAAGCTGATAAAAGAACGCTACAGGCACCGGTCGTGTCATCCCAGATCCGCACCACAAAACCGCACATGTTGTAAGATCAAATGTGCAACGCCCAAACCACACTGCAGTAAAAAATAGTTCTTTAAAAAAATAGATAGAAATCAAAAGAAGAATATCCCTTTCAAAAACGCCCGATAAAAACCGACAGGCCCAAACTTTCGGCCCACCCGGGTCCCAGCTCCACCACGCTACGGATTTACGTTCTTTCTTTAGTCATTTACGCGCATAAGGTTTGTTTTTGTATAGCGTGGATGCAATGTGCATCAGCTCCCAGAATTTTAGATTCCTGCGCGCTATTTTTGCGGCACGTTCTGATGATCAAATCGTTCGAACAAATTTCTAATATGCTAATCACATCACATCAAATATGCATCAAATATGCTACGCGATGGGTTTGATGCACCTTGAGCACGTTGACGTTATGGAGTAAAGGATTTATACACACGTAGCATAAAAACGAAAAAATCACTATTGGGCCCTAGATACCCGGTAAAGGTGCTAGGGAGCAAAGCGCGATTTCATTTTCCGAATAGTATCCTGAAACGCCCGGTATTTCCACTGAGCACTGCAATTGCAATCTTGCAGGTTTTCAAGGAGGTCTTCTTTCCGAGACTCGTAACTGGTGCTTTGCATGTCAAACGTTACATAGTTTAGCAGATCCACATAATAGTTTGAATCTTGATTCCTCCGTTTTTGCATCATCTAAACAATTATCAGCTTTTATCACCGATGCGATTAGGTTGGCTTGGGTCCCTATCTGTGTTGTCACTAATCGATCCGGACTTTTTATGGTGGTGCTACACCAAATTCACAACATGCTTGACTCTGCCCTTGGATCGAACGTGGAGTTTGAACGGAATACATGGAAATGTTCGCGTCTACAGGGTGCGTCAAAAAGGAACCAAGTTTGCACCAAAATATCTCGCTTATAGTAGAGAATCGAAGGTACGTTACCATGCCAGAATGCTTAAATATGCTGGGCATGATTTAACACAACCTGATTTTTTCGATTTTTGAGTACGAAACTGTACTATTGACGCTGGTTACGACCGAAAATTGTGCGTTCTTGAACGGGTGGTGGGAAAATTCTGATTTTTGGCCCAAAAATAGTATAAATTCGTAGAAAGGTAATAGCAAAGTCTTAGAATTTTTCGAGGTCTATTTCGTTTTTTACAAACAAAACAATTTTCGCGATTTTGCGTTTCACTGCCCATGGCTGCTTTTTTGCCAATGGCTTATCCAAATATTAATCTCGGGTCCCGCACCAGAACCCATTTTGTATTGCTTGCTAAAACGTGCCCCAGTGGGGTACTGTAGTTTTCGTTTTTCTCGCTCTTCTCCGGACCCCTAGCTTCGATCCGACGAAGATTTTCAGGGTTGTTAGGCAATAAGTAGTGGCACCTTGCTGCCAAATACGGGAGCGTACTATCCAAAAACTTTCATGAAAAAGACTAAAAACTGATTTTTTAATTCTCCCACAGAATCTTGTAAATTTTTTGGTCAGTTGTACCAAAAACTGTTACTATTGCTTTTACCGCAAGATCGAAGCGATTCCATGGCAAGAACACCACGAAAATCACGAATTTCGGTTTTCTACAGTAACCCCCGTGGAGCGCGTTTTAGCATGCCATCATAAAATTCCATAAAGTGACGATTTTTCAATTCGAGAGCCTTCTAGAGTTGATTGTAAGATAGCCTGTAAAAAATTACTGATTTTGGGTGGTAAATAACAAAGTTACGGGGTCAAGTGCAAAACAAGGCCAGAGAGCCGATTTTGGGTCCGAGTAGCCGGGGTCAATTTTCGAATTTTTAAAAATAAAAAACGACCTGGATCTTATGGATACGATTAAAGATTTGATGTTTGTATTTACGCTTGTCGATTTCCGGAGCAATCTGATTCAAAATTATGGGAACTTTCAGCCAAAAATGGAAAATCACCCTGTTCTAAAACCGAAGTTTAAAATTCTTCTTAAAATTTTTTCGACGCTAAATTGTTTTAATCTTTGCATAGTTTTATTTAACTAATACTACAGATTTATTGTTCAAAAGTTCCTGGCGACTTCACCTTCCAAAATTTTTTTGCGCCCACGCAGATTCGGTCTATTTCGGGTTTTGATGAATTTTCTTGGCGCCAACGGCTGGTCAAATAAATTCAAGAACATGGCCTTAAGATGCGCTACTCAAATGGTATCATATAAAATTCAAATAACAATTTTCATAGCGCTGTTAAAAACTATAAAATGGTAGCAAGGTTTGGAAAAAAGCACAAATCAACGGTTTTGGAGGCCCTAAAAGTCCCCCTTCCAAAGGGGTACGGTAGCTCGAAATGTTGCAGATTATACAGGGTGTCCCAAAAAAAACGACCCATCTGGCATTTCGCCGGGTTACATCCAATCGGTCCCAAATTTGGACCAGAGGTGTATCTGACCCTAAATAACAACAATCCTGACTTATAGCCCTGTAGCTATAGTAGTTCTCGAGTTATAGCGAAAACAAACTTTATTTTTCATTTTTCATAGGGTTTTCGTGGAACTAGACCCCCTAAACATTAAGCGAAAATGATCCGGTTGGCCTCCTTTACCGTAAGAAATTTTTTTCCAGAGTAAAATTGATGAAATAAACTTTGATTTAAGCGATTTTTACAACGCAAAATTACCCAAGTTCTTAAGCAAAATTAGGGATTCACAGCCGGAAGTCGATGCAAATCGATGCAAAGTCCAAAAAAGATAGCCGAAAAGGCTATTCAGAATTCGGGGAAAAACAGTATTTTCGTTATAACTCGAGAACCACGATAGCTACAGGGATATAAGTCAGGATTGTTGTTATTTAGGGTCTGGTACACCTTTGGTCCAAATTTGAGACCGATTGGATGTAACACGGCGAAATGCCAGATGGGTCGTTTTTTTTGGGACACCCTGTAGATAAACACCAGTACTACATAGCTAAGCAAAGAAAATAACTGAGTCCTCTTAGGCAATTTAAAAATATTTTTCCAAAGTTCGGTTTCGAGACCTGGGGAAATCCATGACCCGGGGGTCGTTGAAAAACTCGAAAATTCATCGACCTCGAAAATTTTTTTATTTTTTTTTATGCGACTGTGCATAGCCCATAGGTATTCTACAACAACTTATTTTGATGTTTTGGCCATAGGTTTTTGTAATTTTCGAAATTTACGAAATTTCCCCATACAAAATTTCATTCCTCTAGAACTCGTCAACCAGACCCTCAAAAATTCTTAAATTTTGTAGGTGGATATCTACTACCTACATTAACTTAAATAGTCAAAATTAGAACCCAGCCGCCACAGGACACTGAGAAAAATGCAAATGAAGTTTTGCGGAACGCACATTTTTCGGGTGTCATTTGTATGGGTACGACGCCAAAAATCGAAAAAATCAAGTTGTGTTATATCTTCATGCCCAGCATATTTAAGCATTCTGGCATGGTAACGTACCTTCGATTCTCAAAGATAAGCGAGATATTTTGGTGCAAACTTGGTTCTTTTTTTTGACGCACCCTGTACAACGCTACACATGCAGCTTGTTTTTGCGACAATTATTTGGACTCCCGGAACACTTACTAAGCCCCATAGGTTTTCTATCTTCTGCGCCCATGTAAGAAGGAAGGCAAAGTAGAACTGGTCCCACATCGAGTATGGGTCGCCCGGAATCTTCCGCGAACAATCCTTATATATCATTTGACAAAAGTCGCGTGACAGCTTTGCCGCCACAGCCACTGGATATTTCTCAGGGTAGTCAAACACCTAAAAACAGGATTTCCTAAACACTGCCCAGTAGAGAATGCAGATCACCAAGCATGTCGGTAACGATGATTTTTTTTTTGAGCTTGTTAGAACAGCTAAGGGGCAAGCACCCGATCTTAGGAACTTTTTTCAAACAAATTTAAAACACCTAGGAGCTTAATTTTATTTTAAACTGACCATTAGCTGCAATTCATCATTGCAGAAATTGTAACTGAAGCGACATAGTCTAGAATCATTTGCTGCCAGTTCATTATAGATGGAAAGAAACTCGCGGTATCTTTGTGAAGCACTTTCCTAAACAAAGCAATCCCGCATGAGTCGTCGGAAAACCGCTGTGATTCTCTACCTCTTCACGGAAAGGCATTTCTTGCCTATTTGTTCTTAATAATTCTTCGGCTTTGACTTGGAAAGAGAGATCCACCGACAGTTCAACATAAAACGGAAGGACACCTTTGTTTAACCATTCCTAAAAAAAGAATATAGTCTAAAGCGGCCGATCGTACGTCCTGTCAAAATGCCGTACCAAGATCTACTATATATAAAGGGTGTCCCAAAAAACACCCCTGTGTCCGATTCTATCGGTGAAAAAGGTCAAAGGTGAAAATCGGACGCAGTCGTGTCCGATTTTCATCTTTGAGGTATCTATCGGAAGCTTTCGAAAGGGCATGTAAACAAGAAGGGTTCGTGGCTTGTCCTATGTACAGGGTGTCCCAATAAAAAAGGTCACGCTGGCATTTTGTCATTTCAAATCTGATCGACCTGAAATTTGGAACAGAGCTGCGGAAGAAAATTTAAAATGTTCACAGAAACTTTCAGCCCGATCGGTACAGTAGTTTTCGAGCTATAGCAAAAATAAACTTTATTTTACGTTTTTAACCCGGATTTCGCCGGAAGTGAGCCTTGGAATCTCTGGCAAAAATGAAGCGCCGACCCTTTTTTACCCCAGAAAATTTTTTATTTCGTAAAATTCGTCTTAGAAATAGGTTGTTTAAGTAATTTTAACAAGGTTGATCATCCCCGATGTTAAGGAGAATGAGGGATTTAGGGCCGAAATTGATGGTAATGGATGCAAAGTCCAAAAAGATAGCCGAAAAAATGAAGCAAAAAAAGTTGAAAAAACAGTATTTTTGTTATAACTCGAAAACTACTGTACCGATCGGGTTGAAAGTTTCTGTGAACATTTTAAATTCCCTTCCGCAGCTCTGCTCCAAATTTCAGAACGAACAGATTTGAAATGGCGAAATGCCAGCGTGACCTTTTTATTGGGATACCCTGTATTTTTATTCCCGAACTTCACATCCAAAACCCATGAAAGCGGCAGATTTACAAGAGATCTGCATGCTAATGGCGAAATTCCTATTGAAAAGCTACCTGTTTATTTAAAAAACGTTGAATATCGGAAGAATGAAAATAGAACTTAGAAAACAAAGCCCGCTTGTTTTCCCGCCTTTTCGGGGGTTTTCGAATGGTATAAAAATCGTCCTGATCTGACCTGAGTTCCCCCAGGACCGCTAGAGGGGGGTGCTTTTTTCGGACACCCAGTATAAATTTATAATGTCCGTGATTCCGCCCGACCGACCCGCAATTCAGGCAAATTCTGCATTCAACTTCAAAATTCAAGCTATGGTGCACAGGGGACAGCGAGCGCTGACTGTAAAGTGTTTTTACTCAGGCTGGCTTATAGTAATGGGACCAAAATTCTCTTGTTCAGAATTTTTTGCTGATTCCGAACCCGTTTTCCAAACTTGCTGCGGACTTTGCGTTAAAAAGTCATCTGAGGTCGACATTAAGCTTAAAAACCGCATAATGGCCTGGCCTGGGTCCAGGCATTGTCGTGCCCCTTATCTATCCTCCCGAAGCCACCTGCCCGTTTGGCACCATGGTGCATTGGCAAGGTGCTAGCTTCCCAAGCACAGGGAGGCGGTTCGAACCCCTTCACAATTTCTTTTGCTTTTTGCACAAAAACACGCAATTGTTTGCATGAAAACGTCCTTTGACCTCTAAAACCGCTACCGACCCCGTTTTACCGTTGAAGATCACGAAAACTTAAAAATAACGCAAAAAAATCCAGATTTTGGCACTTTTTATAGTATAAATGTCAAATAACTTTTTAAATAAAAGTCGGCAGCAGATTTGGAAATCAGATTCGGAATCAGCGGAAAATTCTGCACAAGATAGGGTTGGTCCCATCCCCAAACGCCAGCCTGAGTAAAAACACTTTACAGTGAGCTGCCGCGCAGCAGGATGTCAGCGCTCGTTCTTATTAAACCTCAACTATTCAAGATTCTCCGTGAACTGTTTGTCAATGGCGTGGTAAGAAAATTCAATGGAAAAATGTCGCCCGATAAATCCGAAGAGTTTTTCTATTTGGGTAAGAGTTTACTTTACCCCCTCCCCCACAGCCGAAGGTTCTGAAAGCTTTCGGTAAATGAAGTTTCCCCGAACGCACAGTTTTTGGGTGTTATTTGTATGGGTACGTAGCCAAAAATCGAAAAAATCAAGTTGTGTTGAATCTTCATGCCCAGAATATTTAAGCATCCTGGCATGGTAACGTACCTTCGATTCTCTACCGTTCGCGGGTTATTTCGACCCAAACTGTGGCCTTTTTTTTGCACACCCTGTATCTATTAGTTGCGTTGTGGTTCATTACACCTCTATTTAGCCACGGAGAGAACATCACTCACGGGAAAGCGGGCAATCAACGTCCTTGCTTCGACTCGTGACAATTTCGATTCATTGCACAATCTGCTTTTTAACATCTCCAAGGCACTGTTGTATTCTTCGTCAATGCGGCGATAGTGACCATGTCGATCGTTTAATGCTTTCGACACCAAATTGTTAAACACTAGCATCTGTGGCTCCTTAAACGCATGGATGGAGCAATTCGTTTGCACCGCTATTAAACAATCAATCATATATCAGCTCCTTACTTTTCTTTATCCAACATTAGTTAGATATTAGTTGTTCTACCCGGTTCGCAAAACACTCACAAACTTTTTCCCCGTCGCGATCGTGTAGGTGTGAGCTGCAACCAGTTGCCGTTGTTGGTGAAGCTTAGCATAGATCGAGTCCCCACGTTGCCCCAGATCTTGGTCAAGACATCGCTGAATTGCTATCTGCAGCAGCTCGTGCCGTACTTCTTGCAAAATTCGACCATAATTTCGGTTTTCCTGAAATTTGTTGAACAGTTTTCAAAAATGCCTGGTTTTCGGGAGGTCTCTATTTTCATAGTAACTTTCAGCAGTACGGCATTTCACTGGCATTTCTCCATATTATTTTATCTACAAGTCGCTAGAATCATCTGCTAATTTGAAGAATCATGTTATCCTTAATTATATATCAGCGAGGGCGGAACTGCTTTGCGACTCTCCCCCTTAAAGACCGTCAGAACGATGGAACGCGCACTGTCACCCCGAGGGTGGCAAACCAAAAGGACACGTGAACCAAACGCAAATTGGAACCACGCGTTGCCAAAAGTGCGCACTAATGGGAGGATATTGCACCCCGGGGGCACGAAAGGACGGCAACGAGCCGCGCCTATCGCCTATCTGTGCACTGATAACGATCTGATCAAACTGATAAGCGCCGTTCCCCGTCAGAGTTCTGACGGTCTTTAAATGCAGACCTATTTAATTTGGCCTGCGGTTACGACCTATCGATTCTTTTCTTTTATCTGGCCTGCGTGCTTCATCCCAGAGAAAATTGTGAGGCTAGCTTTCTTCGGGTAAATACTTGCTGTGCCGATTTTCGCTGTGCCGATTTACAGTATGCCGATTATTGGTATGCCGAATTTCGCTATGCCGAATTTTCACTATGCCGAATTTTCACTATGCCGAATTTTCGCTATGCCGAATTTCGCTACACCGAATTTTCACTATACCGAATTTTCACTATACCGAATTTTCGCTATACCGAATTTTTGCTACTCTACTACTAACAGTCTCTACTCATTAATAACTAAGATCGGCTGGGACTTTACGGTGCAACAAAAAATCTGCTGCGCTTATGGGACCTACGATCTGCCCGAGTTTTTGGAAATTTCTAGGCTTACTCTAACTTTCTAGGCCCATAATATTTGGAAAAATAGTAAAAAAATGGGGAACACACCGCTTATCAAAATTGGTATGGCGAAGATTCGGCATGGTGAAAATTCGGTATCATGAAAATTCGGTATAGTGAAGATTCGGTATAGCGAAAATTCGGCATAGCGGAAATCGGCACAGCGTCAATCGGCATAGCAAAATTCGGCATAGCAAATGGAACTCCTTTCTTCGTTAGCCTGCGGCCCGCGCAAGCTTGACGGGTTAGCTTTACTCTTTAGCGTGTTGCGCTAGATTGCTCGGCTAGCTTCGTTCTAAAGCCTGGAGCGCAAACTTGAGGAACAGTTACATTCTTTGGCCTGCGGCGCAGGTTTGAGTGACTAACTTCATAATAACGTCTCTCGGCACGCTGCCTCTAATGTCCGTGCGCCCAACCGCTCGACCGTCCGTCCCCGCTGCGCGACACAGGCGTCATTTGGTGCCGCGCAGTACGGACGGGAGGTCAGCACTGGTTGATACCTACCCGCCCTCATTAAAAAATGAATTTATATACAGCTCTATAGCTAGTTCAGATTTGTCTAAGCTGTTCTCCTGCCATCAAAATAGTTGTCCTAACAAACCATTAAGATGAACCGCAGCTCGCGACGAAATTCCTCCAGCTTTTCGTGGATCTCCTCATCCTGTTTGCATTTTTCTTTCAAATCACGAATTTCGATGAAGCTGCTGAGGTACTTTCGGTCCAGGTCCTGGTGGGCTTTTTCCATAGTGACAATTTTGGCAGCTAATAGCGCATTCTCTTTCTTACAATCTTCCAGAGTTTCTTTTCCGGTATCCTGGCGTACTGAATAGTTGCTGGACCCATTTTCTTGTTCCCAGACGCGTTGCCCCGAACTGAACTTCAAATCAGTATTGTCCGTTTTTGCGTGAATCGTTTCTCCAAAGCCAGTAGCTTCTCCTTTAGCGCTTCGGTGACCATCACCGCTTCCATTATCCCGCGTCCTGCTTGCATCGATCGCTGGTCGCTCATTTTTCCACCATTGTTTCTCTTTTTTCAATATTTGTACCGAATTTGAGGCTGCCGGGTTTGCCAGACTGGATTTGCGATCAGATTCGTTTTTTCGCATTTCTTCCGAGAATGCATTGAAGTCTTGTCCTAGCATGATATCAGACTTCAATCCAAACCGTTTTTCAGTAGGGTTGACGTCGACCATTGCAGTTTTTCTTGGATCTTCGTTGCCCCGTGGTGCTACTGAGTGCACGCTGCCAGAACTTCGATGAAGTCTAGAAGCCGGTCGAGCATCGCTTCTTCCCGTATCTACAGGCGGCTTCCACAACTGTTTTGGTTCATTTTCCCACGGGTCTTGTTCGGGTCGTGAGGGGTAGGAACGTCCCAGCATTTGCTCGCCGGGAGCCTTTTGGACCGGTGTTTCGAGCGACAAAGCGGCGACGCCAGAAACATTGTCAGCGTAATTTACACGATTATTCCTGACGAACCCAGATTTTTTGACCCCGTAGTCGAATTGTTGTTGGACAAACGTTGTTCCACCCTCCGCTAAACCAAGATTGGAAGATGCGAATATCCCCTTTTTTCTCACCTATACAGGCATCTTGTGGGAGTTTGCGCGATTGCCTAGTCGAGCTTGTCAGATCCGTTTCCACTTTGTTTAATTGATATTTGCGCTTGTTTACAGCTTGATCCACTGATTTCTAGAAACATTCATTCTTTAATACCCTAAAACAAACGTTGCAAACGCAACCGCATCCGCAAAATTCCGGCGTCTACTAGTTCGGTGGGGAAAGAGGCGCTTTTGGAAGCTTACCGATGCCTACTGAGAAACCTATTCTAACACCGAATACCTCTGCCTCCTTTACTAAAGGACGCGTACCTATAAGGGTCCTAGGAAATAGCTTACTACGAGATGTTTTTCAGTGTGAATGGAGTTTTGAGTTGAAACCAGGCCTATTCTGTGCGGAATTTTGCGCTGGTCCCGTATATGATTTCAGAAACTGCTAAATGGCGATTTTGAAAAAGTTACAAGGCTTTTTAGCAGGGAAAACGCCTGAAATCCCATACTTTGAAGGCCTATAGAAATGTCAGAGATAATATCTAGGAGAAACCAATTAGCACATCATGCTCAAAAAATCTGAGCTTTCGAATGGGGTATCACAAGAAAATCTTCCAAACTTCTGGAAAATCGGTTCTGTTTCACATGGAGCACGACAACTTTTAAAAAACTTTTTAAGCAAAATTTGGAAAATTGGTATGTCTATTACACACCTCATTCAAAAACGCATTGTTTTTCGGAACAGGATGTACTACTTGGTTTCACCTGGATTTTTTCTTGCATTTTTATAGGCCTTCAAAGTATGCCATTCTGGGGTGGTACCCAAGTGAATTTAACCACCCTGCTTTAAATACCCATGGTCAAAATTTAACCACGGTGGTTTGGGCACTTGGGTACCACCCCTGCGCGCTTGCTAGTAAAAAGCCTTGTAACTTCTTCAAATCGGTCATTTAGCAGTTTCTACACCAGATTCAGAATCAGTGCAACATTCTGCGCAAAACAGGCCTGGTTTCGACTCAAAAGACCATTCACACTAAAAAAAAACTTCTCTTATTAGCATACATATGGATATGATAAGGCCAATGGCGGCGATTCCGAATATCTTTTAAGAAGCTGTTCAATCCAAATAGCAAAAGCTATGAACACTGAAAGGTTTCCATCACTGACATAGCTGTGCTACCATGAGATATTACTATAAAAATTACATTAGGATTTGCTGGCGTATTGAATCGACTATATCAGATCCGTCATTTCGCTAAGCGGTTTCTATTTGTATTCAGTTTTGCCCTCACCGCTGATTACTGCAAACGGAGCGAAATTGAGGAATTAGGGGAGGAATTAGGTCATTAGAGCCTGAAACAGCTAACAGAACTTCAGACTATTGGCTTGGCCAGGCAACACGATATTTGGATCTAACACAAGTAGGGAACTGCATACCTGGATCTTTTGCTTGAACTGCGACGAAATGTCGCAGGTATCTGCTTCGCTCAACACAAACATAGGCTCAAGTGCTTTTAGGCCCTTTGATATCGCTGATATTTCTTGATCAACGATTCCGGCGACAAATTTCTTATCGTCCAAAACTTGGATCTGCTTGATCTAAAACACTTCGAAAACCATTGTGCTGGTAAACCGTCTGTAACTTTTGCTCCAGGTACGACACTTGGTTTTGGAGCAATTCGCGGATATATCCAGGCAGTATTTCGTAGCGAATATGTGCGTTGAAGCGTTCCTAAAAAATGTCATCGAAATTCCACGTATGCCTGGGCGGGGGGGAGCAACGACCGGCCTAGGGCCTAGAGGGAATTGTCAAACACTGTGGCCCTGAAAACAAGCATTTTATTGGCTAAAACAAAACTATGTTAATGCAAGCAGATCAACTACAGGGTGTCCCAAAAAAAAGACCCCCCCCAGAAATTTGAGCCAGAGGGCACCTACGCAGCTGAAAATTTGCACAGAGGTAGCGAAGCTAATTTCCCATGTATATGGAAAGTTTGAGCCATATCGCTCGACGGGTTTTATAGTTATAGGGAAAATACTTTTCATTTTTAATTTAATATGGGGATTTTTGCATGCATCAAAAATATGCGTTATTCTTGAATTTACGAGCAGATTTTGCATAGATTTTGCCAAAAAATACCATTCTCTTGCTGGAGCTTTTGGAAAACGATTGCTCATGCAGCGTGAAAACGATCAGCAAGACCGCTGAGTATAGAGTTGAAACCATCGTTCAGCGCCTGAACTTCGCTTAGACTTTGGACTGACTTAAACCCAAGCCCAAATCTAAACTGAAGCACCAGTTAGAACCCCATCGAACTCTGTTTCGGGACTATCGCGAAGCAGATTGCCAAAATGCACAATAAGGCGTGGTTGGATCGATAAAACAGTTGTTTTCACACTCTTTTTACTCTTCATACGCAATCGTTCGCGCCATGCTCCAGCAAGAGAATGGCATTTTTTGGCAAAATTTATGCAAAATATGCTCGTAAATTCAAGAATAACGCATATTTTTGATGCAAATTGCAAAAATCCCCATATTAAATTAAAAATGAAAAGTATTTTCGCTATAACTTTAATACCCGTCGGCCGATATGGCTCAAACTTTCCATATACATGGGAAATTGGCTTCGGTACCTCTGCGCAAATTTTCAGCTCCGTAGGTGCCCTCTGGCTCAAATTTCTGGGGAGGTCTTTTTTTTGGGACACCCTGTACGTGTGGTATAAAATTCAGGGGCCTTTTTATGGGACCCTCCCTCCCTCCCACTAAACATTGTACCTGCAGACCGCGGATGACCTGTGCATCGTTGGTGACGTGCGGCTCGATATTAGTTTGCCAAAAAATCCAGGCTTCCGAAGTGCTTCTCAACTAAAAGCAACTGATGATGTTTTCCACAAATAATTTTTTTGAAGGTCAAACCGCGAAGCCTAATTGCGGAAACAACGCAGCGTATCCGTCGGTGGATCGCCAAAGACAGTTTACGTAAGCTCTGAATTTACCTTGTCCACCGCCTCATTTCCGCGTCTTAGCCGATCGGCCCGGGCTTGTTCTTCCGCTGCTGCTTCCGCTTCCATTTTACTGACCTTTTTCAAATCGTTTTTGTAGAGAACCTTATAATTGTCGTTTGTATAGAATAACGCGTACCTTCAGTTTTTTTTCAACTTCGCCTTTGATCGCCTCATGTCTTGCATCATCAGAGCTTAGTATCCCGGCTACTTCCTGTTTAATTTGCCGGTAAAATCGTTCAAGCTGATCTTTGCTGCTACCCTGTAACCCCGCTAGTTGTTCTTTTTGTGATCTGCCAAACCTTAAAGTCAAGGTCGATTTTATCAAGGACGTTTGTCGCTGCTACTTCAATGGTGATTAAGTATGCCTACAATCAAATGTTGAACTAGAGGGCAATTACAACCTGTGATTTGGGTGCGAGCAGCGTCGGCTCCAGCCCCTCCAGTAGCCTCTGAAATACCTGTTAAAGGACACGTTGAGGTTTGGGAGCTTGAGTTGGTACCTTGGTACCCCAAAATTGGCAAATAGTCAGCCTGGTCGGAGAGGGGGAGTGAGGGCGGGAGAGGGGCAAAGGATTGTCGATCATATGTCCTAACCAGTGGAAAAGACCGCTTCGCGGCTCTTTTCCCCTGGAGCCCGTCCAGGAACCATGAATCTGAATACCTTCTTTTTTTTAGACTGCGGCGCAAGAACCTGAGTCATCCTGTGGCCCGGGCCAAGGACCTTTTCTTTGGCCTACGGTGCTAGAGCGAGAGCCAGGCCTAAACCTTGCGCTAGAATCTTTTGCCTGCGGCGCTGGTTCCTGGTTTTCTCCCGGATTTGAACTGCGGCGCAAGAGCCTAGATCAAGCACCCATCATTAGCCTGCGGCGCGAGAGCCTGGGCCAAGGACCTTTTCTTCGGTACTATGTTTAGTGGCCAAACTATCAAAAAGCAAAAATGAAAATTCGCACAGAATTCGAACTCACGACGATACGCGTGGTAGACCGGGCGCTAATCCACTGCACCACGGGGCAGCTGGGGTCGGCCGGCGGGGAAGGCCGCTGCTCTCCTGTGGGTAGAAGGGGGGGGGGGGCGGGGCAAAGAGCAGGGCGACCCAATGATCCCGGGAGGGAGGTCTTCAGCTCACTTTACAAAATTCAATTTTGAGCCTGATTATGCTCAAAATTTGTAAAGATAATCAGATGCGCGTGATCCGCACTATCGAATACATAACTGGTCCAAGTTTCAGCCCGAAATTCCAAAAGGGCAACGAGCTATGGCCCGAACACCACGGCTCCTCGCCCATTTTGTTAAGGATTTTTAGTATTTTGCTTGTAAAATTGCTAAACGGAGGAATTTCGGACAACAAAAAAATGCGTTTTTGGCGAAGTGTTTCTCTACTTCTATGCCAAAAATCTGCTCGGAATTCGGCCTGACGGCCTAAAATCTAAAATCGTCATTACAGAAAACAGACATACTCTCGCTTATAGGATAGGAAATCCATTTTTTCTAAAGCCATTTTTCCTGAAAGCCATTTTCCTAAATGCCTAAATGCATCTGCTTCCGGTTTTAGGAAAGACGGATTTTAGGAAAAATGGCCTTTAGGGAACATTACTTTTTCAGAAAAACGGCTTAAGGAAAAATGGATTTAGGAAAAATGGCCAGGGGCCGAGCAGGGCTCCGATTTCACCCGCATTACCGGTTTTTGTACGGATCGACAAGGGCTCTTATAAACCCTTTCAGGTCATCTGTAAAACGTGAGTTTGGTGTTTCCCAGTCATTTGTTATCTATTAACTTTTTTTGCGCTTGCAGCAGATAAGTAGCGCAAAAACCGGGCAGTTAGGCTTTTGGCTGCGATTTGGATATTAAATCATTGTCCATGGTTTGCTCCCCGCTGGATCATCTCTCACCTTCCAAAAATCCAGGTCCAATTTAAGGGGCGCTGATGCCTTCGCATAACATTGAACCAGCTTTCTGACGGCTATAAGATCGTCGAGAAATTTTTGATCAATTGGGTCTAAAAAAAGTCGTTTACTTTTTGTTAGGAACAGAACCCTTGAAGCAGATGCGGAGACTGGCGTTTTTGACGAGTTCTGAAGGTGTACTTGTGAACGCACAATCGATATTAGCGATTCTGTCGCGGATTAAGTTAGAAACCTCCGCCATCTCGCTTTCCTCCTTGCATGCCTCCTGCAACCCATAGTCTTACCATACGATATATTCGTGTCAGAAAGAGCGGCCTCCGTTTTTTTTTTTGGTGCAGCCCTTCCGAAGAAGAATAATGCAGAACGAAATCTGTGCTGGGTCCTCGTACGGGGCCAGGGTTGGAAACTACGAAGCGCCCTTTCAACCTTGGTGGTTATTAACGTAGATGTATTTGCATTTTAAAGTAAAACAAAACGTAGTTGTGGATAATTGTTTCGCAAAAAAATTTTCGAAGTATACGGATTCTAAGGTTCCCCATATCACGAGGATGACCGCTGCATCACTTTCATTCAATATTGTAAAGACCTAATCCGATGAAACCCTATGAAAAACGGTTAATAAAGTTTATTTCTGCTGTCTCTCGAAAAATATCTTAGCTATGGGGGCTATAAGTCAGGATTGTGGCTGTTTAGGGTCCGATCAACCTTTGACCCAATGTTGGAGCCGGTTGTATGTAACATACAATAAAAGTTTGTTTATGGATAGTGCTGTAGTTGCCAACTAAGCTGGTCCCAGAGAAAAATGATGGCCACCCTACCCAAATTGATTCGAGGAACGGCGCAGCGGCTAGGTGAGGTGACTCAACATCACGCACTACAAATAGCAGATTCTAAAACATTGACTAGTGCTTTGCATATATATGTACATCGATCGGGGCTCCCTGCACGAATCTCGCGGACGCTTCAAGCGCTCTCGAGATCTGTCGCAGTTCCTCGGCAGTTGGCAGGGTTGAGATGACATTGAAAATCTAGAACACAGATGAGAACATTCGGCTGACTTACTAGCACTTCGGAGATCAGCAATGTAAAAGTCATAATCCAATCGGAAATCCAGGTTTCAGACTCGGTATCGACTGCCTGGGTATCCAGCAGAAACACCACCACCTATGTATTAGGGGCAATTTATAGAAGCAGGCGACGAAGGTTCGGTTTGCGGAGGTAAAGGGATTCTTTTCCGCGGGGCATTTCGCCGAATTTTTGAAAAAATGACAACGTAACACAAGCTTGTTAAAGTTTCCACATCTCCGCTAGTCGAAATTGTCAAACCAATTCGAACAGATAGCCCGCCAACCTTGCAGACCGAACCCTACGGTTCCTGGGAATCATGAGCATAGTGTATTTTACCTGATCCCCGGACTTCGTCATATGGTGCAGAGGCGGTTCAAGGATTTGAACGCCTTTTGTCGCCGGGGCGTCCCCAGCCCGGAAACTTCCCTCGAGGCTGAAAACTTTTTGTCAATCGCGATGTGAAGGCGCGTGGGTGGGGCATTAGGGTCATTTGCAAACTTTGGAAAAAGAAATTTTGCCGAGGCTTTCCCGCTTCCCCCCGATTATCTGTCCCGTCACGCAAGTCAGGCAAGGACAAAAGGAACAGGTTTTGCTTGCCCAATAATACAGACAATTCTTCGTAAGCTGTAAAGGTCAAACCGGGTTACTGGAGCATTCAACGCGTATTGTGATAGGAAAGTGGAAAGAAAGCTCTTCCCACTGCCAACCTTGCCGACGGTTCCCACCAAGCACACCTGAAATGGGGTTCGCGTTTATTTTGGATGCACCTTTCGGTCCACATATTTCGGGTGTCCTATTGTTGCTGATACCGTTTCTTCATTTAGGACAAAGTGACCGCCCACAAAATCGACCAGTTGACGATATGGCATCTCTGAAAGGTAAACTGACAACAGAAGCGTGTGTGCTGGAGATGTCTCTTCGGCAGGACGCGATTTATGGAAAAGTCAAATCTTATATTGAAAACACAGATTCCAGCGCCCAAGACTTGCGAAGCAAGTTTTGGCCGCTGGCCAAAATTATAAATCGCGTATACAAGAAAGAATAGTCCAAAAAAGCATAGAAAAAGCAGAGGATAGCGGCGCCCTGGTTCGCATTTCTAAAGTCCCTCTGGAAGACATAAAAGTACCAAAAGCGGCCGACCAGGGGGCCTTATCTGTAGCCACCCAGCCTGCAGACGAGCGGCTCAAAAACGGTACTACGCCCTGCTTACGTGGGTTAGTGCGCGCCGTGGCATTTTTATGTTCACCAGTCTCCACAATGGCCGATTCTTTGTCTGCCGTGAAAACCTTATCAAGAAAGGAATAAAGCCACGCGTAAAAAAGGCCAGGCCGTGGTTAGTGGGAAGATAAGCAGCGCAGCAAACATTGCCGTTGTCGAACGTAAGCGTGCGAGAACAGAGCAGCCAGATAACGGGCTGTAGACTTCACGACCCATCTTGGCACTTTTGTGTCCTCATAGTTTAGTGGTTCTCGGTCCCATCCACTGTCTTAGGCATTCTGGCCACAAGGATAACTTGGAAGGCGTTTGAGGCTAAGACACCAGCTCCGTGAGCCCTAATTTGCTTGAATTTAAATTATTAAATGAGCCTAGCCTGGATGAACTTTCAAAGAGAGCCATTCACTTTTCTCGCTTTGTGTTCCAAACCGTTGGGTTTTTGCTAAAAATTGTTTGAGGTTGCACAGCTGATAGAATGGTTTTCAACACGGTCATCAAAGCTGCTGTTGGCGGACCATCTGAGGTCTGGTTTGGTGGATCATGAGCCGCCAAAAACCTGAGAAAAAAAAATTGGGAACAAATATTTCAGGGGAACCCTCGGATGGAATGCTTGTATAAGATTGTTAATGAATTTCCAATTCACGATCACAAAGTGCTGGAAAATATTACGGCACAAATCGGAGATCGACGGGTACGATTTGTATTTTTGGATCACGAGTTGTCGTGAGCCAACTGTGCGTTCGGCGGGTAGCTCTGGTTCGATCGAGGTCGTAATTTGCATATGGACTCGGCTGCTGGACCGCACAGGGCAGTGCGTTAGTCTAGAAAACCGAAGAGTTTTGTCTAACATGCTTCAAAAAAAAGCCGCCTACTTAGTTCCCTCTAGGAACCGTCGGGCCGATCGTTAGGGGAAGCTGAAATCTCAATCTGACAATCAACTATATATATACATAGGTGGCCATCATCTCGACGTGCGGAAAATCACGTCATGGCAAAACTTTTTGGCAGAACATCTTGCTTCACGCCTTGCGGTATGGCGAAGCTATCTTTTCCGATGATGATATAATTGGGTGAGCTAACATATTTCAATACGGGATACGCGACGGCGGTGTGCCGAGCTTCAAAAAGCTGCATGACCTAACGACCCTGTATGTCTATACGTGTGGTCAAAGACAGTTTAGCGCATCTGACCATGGATTCCCAAGAACCAAAATAAAGAAGTATTTAGCGGTCAGAATGGAGTTGCGTTTAAATCCGGGTTTGACCGCGATACGGTCGGCATTTTGGTGTGGTCGGAAGTGTTTGTTCGGAAGCTTGGGGGTGGTGAAGAGGTACTGTGTGGATCAGGTTTTGAAATAATGCCGTTTCTCTCAAGGTGGCGGTGGTGTTAATGGATACTCAGGGCACATTCGATCTACAATCTGAGAATGACGAGTCGGTCAACTACTTCGCCACATCCCTTCTTTTGTCATCGTATCAGGTTCGCAATTGCCCATGTACATTTTCAGTCCACGGTCTGCTTAAAATTCACGTCTAGATATTCAACGTCTCTGAGAAACTGGATTCCACCGATTTTGAGGCACTAAGCACTTTCATCGACTACAGCGAAATGAGCGGGCAGCACTTGAGCCAGGTTGGTGATCATAAGCACATGAGAGCGTAGCTGTAGGCGCGCAGTTCTGCATCAGCAGCGCTATGGAAAACCGTAATCAAAATCCACTTCAGCACTTTCTGTTCCTGATCCGAAATGCAATCGATGGCGCTGGACTGAGCCCTGACTTTCTGGACAAGCTTTTGGCGGGGGCTACCGGTGCGCCACGACTCTACAAACTGATCACCGGTTGCTTCGAAGCATTCGAAAACGTGGAGTCTTATTTGGTCCCCGCGCCCGATCGTAAATTGGTTAAGGCGGATGGTGAAGTGCGAGCCGGAGGTGAGCATTTGTTTTGACTAATGCCTGCGACCCATTATCTATTATACGCACATCCGTAATAAACGTCCGACCCATCCGACCCATAAAATTTTTTGACAGACTTGCAAATCCCTCTCTAGATTGCGGCGCTGAGTTTCTAAGCAGTATTTGTGAAGCGGCCTCGCATGTTTTGCGGGGATTGAAACCGAAGACCGCGATGGGTACACCGTTGAATGGGCCTGGATTCAAGCTATATGCCCAGGTAGGCAAGGCTCGAGACAAGCTTGGCTGACAGTGGCGAAAGCCAAGGGGTATCCAAGCTATTGCTAGACGGCCATTTTGTACGAGGTATGGAATAAGCATTTTGGCAAAATGACGGTCCTTTTATAAAATTGAAACGCAGTTTTGGAACGCCGATTTGGGGTCCTCCTCCGCACAGTCATGCCCCTTTTCTACGTCTAGAAAATATAGAATCTGAACCTGAAAAACCTGAACCCGGAAAATTCTTGATCAAAAGAGATCCGGGATGACTCGAAAGTGAACCCCTTATCAGTTGCAAAATCCCTTTCAGGAAGTCTTCAAGCAAATGGAAAGCAAAGGCAGCAACAAAATCGGCAATTTCTACGAAGTATGTGCATGCACAAAAAAGTCAAACATAAAATTAGGCTTTCAAAGGGATGTCGTTGGAAAACGCAAAAACTGCAGGCATGGCGGAATTTCGCGAAGCTTGGGATAAGGTAGGAACCACCAATTAGTATTTTGTGTAGAATACTTCTGCGGTGGTGTCCGTCCGTCCGTCTGTCGGAAGCCAACTATGACTCCGCGTTGAACGGATTAGAGTCTGGGTCTAATCGACCTTTCCGGGTCCAAAATGATCAAAATCACAGCTGAAAAATAGCAAAATAATTTTTATAAAATTGGGGTTTGCTTCTCTCTATTTTCGGCTTGCTTCAGGAAGTGACTTTCACCACATTTCCCCCGGATGTGTACGAGAAGAAAGCCAAAGTAATTTTGGAGCTGGCAAAGCAGGTTAGGTTGGCTACCCTATCGTTCATTGTTTTCATAGACGTACCTATCGGTGCCGAGGTATGGGCAAAAAAAAGCCCTTTCCGCCCATTTGCATGCTTTTTGCGCAGAGCTGGAGGTAATGCTTTTCCAGTTTACAAAGCAAAATATTTTCAGGAAAAAAACCGGGATAAATGCGCTTCCAACAAGGAAATTTATAAACGCGAGTGTATAAATGGAGCAGTTGATGCAGCCTTGCATATTTATAACAAGGAAATCCAGGTCAGCTCGACAACCTTTTTGAATAGGGCAGCAAGGCAAGAGAAAATTTTGAGCAAAGCAGAAAGCCGTGCTCTTGCATACAGCAGGTCCGGACCATCTGCATCTCAGGCCGGAATTTCAAGTTCTGAATAGTGATTTAGCACACGCGTGCCGTGAACCCTACTATATTTTAGCCGGGATTCGCCAGCGTCCACCACGAAGGATCACGCAGCGAAGTCCAAGAACTACATGCCAGCGCCCAAAAAGCTGCCCTCCAATTTTTCGAGAAAGGTCCCGTATTCCGTAATACTCGCGATTTTTTCATTAGAAGTCGCCTTGTTCTTCGCTGAAAGCCATACTTTGATTATGCACAATAAGGACAAACTTGTGCAGCTACTTGAGGTAGTCTTGAATGCCGTTTTTTTGAAAAGAGGATTTACAAAACAAAGTGAATTGTATAAATTGACAACACTTGCACATATGAAACCTGTCGTTTGTACAGGGAAAGTTGGACGATCTATTACGCAACAACTCCCAGCATTGGGTACAAAGCCGCATCACAGAGCTGATCGATGGTCGAATCGAAGAATTCAGTCTGCTACTTCAGGAAGTCAGGGCCTTTTTTCTTACCCGTTATCAACGAAATTTTCAGAAGAGCAACAGTGTGGAGCGGGAAGAAGATGTGCAATTGGTGCTCGCCGAGTGCTACGAGACTATTGAAAAAGGGCTAGAAGAGGAGCAGTCGCAAATGATCGATGAATTGGTCAATGAACAGCCTGAAATAGATCCTATCCTGGTCTCAAGTCAGATAGAAAGCATTCGAGAGAGAAGATTGAATCGCAATTTAAAGGTCGGCTATCCTCCCAGCATACCAAAATTTTTTTAGGCAATGGAAAGCGACTTCTTGCGCAATACAGCTGCCACCCTCCAAATGAAAAAAATTGCTGAATCTCTGGAACGTCAAAAAGCTGAATATGAAGCTAAAGCGCAGCAAAGGCAAGACGACATAGAAAGAAAATTGGCGGAAGCGGAGATACTGCGCAAGAAAAACTCTGATGATGAGCGGAAGATGAAATTGTGGGAAGAGGAAGCAAGACAGAAAGAGGAGGCTATGAAGCAACAGGAAGCAGCGTTCATGGCGTCAAAAGCTCAATTTGAACTTGAAGAAGAAGCAGCTAGAGAGGAACTGAGTAGGGTATATTCATGACTTGCGCGGGCTTAAATGAATTTGCAAAATAAAAAGGGAAGCCTTTGGGTAGGGCCGTTCCAATTGTCCTCCTTCTGCAAAAGTTCAAATTTTTCGTTTCCAGCACCTTTACGCGGGCGTGAATTGCGATATTCTCGTTACTCGTTGACAAATAAGACAGCCTTATCACTTTAGGAAAAAAGGAAGCTGCTCGAAATAGGCAGCTGGAAGAAGACGCCAAACGCCGTCAGGAAGAATCCGACAAACGTGCTATAGAGCGTGAAGAAGATAAAAGGCTCCAAGCAGGATTGCGTGTGAAACTCGAAGAGAAGATTAGTAAATTGCAGAAGGAAAAGGATAGAGTGCGTGTTCAGTGAGTCGGCATGTGATTATGTGTAAAGCTATTTTAGAATGGAAAATACCGAGCCATCCATTGGCATCGACTTGGGGACCACCTACTCGGCTGTGGGTATCTGCGTCGGCGATGAGGTGGTGATCATTGCCGACCAGTACGGTAAGAAGGCTATATGTATACCTTCTTTGGCGGTAGTCATCTTCTGAAACAACGTGCTTGTAGCTGAACAGGAATAACGCCGCTTTGGCTTTGTACCCGACAGCCCGGACTAAAGTTTACTCTCAGGCAAGAACACGATGGCGTCACAGGTTGCCTTCTGCGATGGCAAGGTTCTGGTTGGAGAGGCAGCAAAATTGCAGGCAACCCGCAATTCTGGAAATACAATTTATGGTTTGTATTTGCGAAGTTTGACGTGGCGATCGAATAATTAACGATTGTTAAGAAATAAATGTCCAAATCGTATCAACCTGCAAGAAAAATGTACCAGCTAAGTTTTCCAGAAGCCAAGCGTGCTATGGGCAGGCTCTACAAGGATCCCGCCTTGAAGAAAAGTTTGGAGTTGTGGCCGTTCACCGTGATCGAGCAGGCGGGCGAGCCTGCATTCGAGATTGATCAAAATGGAAAGCAAATCTATACACCTGTGGACATATCAAAACTAATACTGGCCGAATTGAAAGTAGGTCTATGAAACGGAGTCCGCGCGCGGTTGTGCAGCTTGTTTAATTTTTGCTCAATCCAAAAAAAGTTATGAAGTTCACCAAGCTCATAAAAGTAATCCTCTCTTGTCCCGGCCACATGTTCATTCCTCAAGTTCCTCCTCGAATTTTTACAAATTGTTTGGCAGAGGCGCTTACACGTGTTCTATTATGTTAATCAAAGGAGCAAATCATTGGAACCGACCAAGTGCATTTTCAGCAAAGAGCCTCGGAGTATCTCGGCAAACCGATCAGCAAAGCGGTGATCACCGTTCCGGCGTATTTTAACGATGCCCAGCGATCTGCGACAAAGGATGCGGCGCAAAAGGCCGGCCTGGAGGTCCTGCAGCTTCTGAATGAACCCACAGCAGCAGCCATCGCTTTCGGGCTTGCCGAAAACAGTGATAAAAAGAGGAACATCCTCGTGTACGATTTCGGCGGTAAGGTTTCTGTGCGGCTTTCAAAAAAATACAGGGTGTCTCAGCAAAAGACACCCCCCCCCCACCCCTCACTCGGCGGGAAAGGGCTGGAGCGGGGTGACAGTTCCCCATTCGAAAGCCCTTCAAAGTCCTACTTCCGGTAATCAGGGACGTAGCGTAAGGTGTCCCCCCCCCCCCGAAATCGGCCGGGGCTCGAAAATTTCTTAAGGGGGGACCCTTATGATTTTTATCTTCTCAAAAATTTTGCTGCCTGCGGCGCTATTTTTGCCCGTTTTTGCTGCTATTTGTAGAACTATACAGCCTTTTTTTTTAATTTTTCGCCTGCGGCGCTGTTTTCTCGTTAATTTTTTGAGTTTTTCGAAAAATTTTTTGCCCCCGAAATTCTTTTCTGGCTACGCCCCTGTCGGTAATGTTGCTTGGAGAAATTGAGGCAAATTAGCTTGAATGCAACCCCCGAAAACAGTAAATGTACAATATCGCTTGTAAAATAGCGAGTTTAAGTAAAAACATGTTTATGAAGATTGATGCAAACTCGCCATTTCAAGAGCTTTCGAATGGGGTGACTATAGTTCCGATTAGATCCTTCTGCAAAGAATTAGAGGGGGGTGCTTTTTATTGGGACACGCTGTCGCCTGTTCAACTGCTCAAAATTTTTCGACCGGCTATTTGTGTGCCTTTGGCCTCTTGGAATGTGTTGGCTTTCTAAGGCAAATTTTGACCCGGTTTAGGAGGCACGTTTGATGTGTCGATCATGGAAATTGTTGGGAGCGAGATGGTAGTGAAAGCAACTTGCGGAAACCCACACCTTGGTGGCGAAGACATCAATAATGTCTTACTGGAATATTGCATGAATGATTTTGGGGAAAAACTACAAGGACGAGCATCCGCTCGGCTTCGCCTTGCTTGCGAAACGGCAAAGATCACGCTCTCCAAAGAAGATCAGGTTCGTCAGAAATTGCAAAGTTATGGAGGTAACTTCTACCAATTTTCTCCGGCGTGTTTTTGTCTACCGAAAACCTCTTCATAGAGCAAATTTTTTACAGGCAACCATCGATGTACCATCTATTACGGAAGGAAAGGATTATAAAAAGACGATTGCGCGCGATTTCTACGAGGAATTATGCAAAAAACTATTCGAAAACACTCTCCTTCCAGTCGAGCATGCTTTGGCAGACGCGAAATTATCCGCTAGTCAGGTTTGCTCGTCTTTACGGCCTCAACATGCCCTTACAGATAGATGAGGTGGTACTGGTTGGCGGATCAAGCTACATTCCAAAGGTCCGAGCCCTGCTCAAGGAAAAACTGAATTTTGCTTCACTGAATACCAAAATTAACGCTGAAGAAGCAGTTGTTGGAGGAGCTGCGTTGCAGGTAAGCTCTTTAGAATTGCATGATTTGCTTACTTACCTGCGTTAATTGTGTAGAAGTTCACAGTTATTTTTGCAGTTGTAAGCCAAATAGATTTTCCTCATTTCGGTGTATCATCTGGGTGTTATTATTAATGTCATGAGGAGGGGAATCTAGTAGTTACGGGGAGGGGCTAGATGGTTGACTGGTACCCGTTTAGCATGAAGATTTCAGGCTGCGAAGTTAACAGGAAACCAATTTGATCGCGTGAAGAATATTAGCTTTTCGGATGTAATTCCGTTGACGATTGGCGTTGGAATTCTTTTCGACCGTGTTGTGGTCCTCATTCCGCGGAATACGGCCTATCCGGTGAAAAAAAACGTCGTGCTGACAAACTCGTATGACATGCAAGAAAGGGCCAAGATCGAGGTGAGTGTTTCCTTGCTGTTTCATGCGGTCAAAACGGCCGCGCGCATTTTATAGTATAAAAATAACGGCATGATTAAGAAAACCTAGTTTTGCCTGCCTGATTAAAAAATACCTCTTAGATCTACGAAGGGGAAAGCAAGACGCATAGCAAAAACACATCACTCGGGAATTTCACGATTCCGCTTGCACCAATGCTGGCAGGCAGGGCGAAGATCAGCATCACCTACGAAATCGACAAGAATGGGACGCTAAAAACAAGCGCCGAGGATTTGGCAACCGGGAAGCATGGCGAATTGACGATCGAGCGCGAAAATTTTGGAAAAGCCACGGTATGGTTGAACTGGATTCTTTGCCGGACAAACTTGTCTACATTCTGTGTTCTGTGGGACCACTAGATGGTTGGAATCGCTATAGGCGAAAACCTAGGGGTAGCCGCGAGCGTTTTTCGAAATTCCATCTTGCCAACTTGAGGTTCCCTTGTAAACTTGAGGGAAACCTGAACCTTAAACCTGTAAAATCAGATATGAGGCAGGGAAGCATTCGAGAAATTTTTCCTTTTAACTTTTTTTTGATCTTTTTGACCGATATTGTATTTGGCGCCAACCTGTAGCCTTGCGATTGGCTAGAACCACAACAACTTAACGTTTTTACAGATCTTCGACGTAGAGAAGTACTTGATGAACAAGAGTGAATGGAAACAAACGTGAAATAAATCAATGCCCGAGTCCTCCGCTATTGTGATTTTTCCGTGACCGTTTATTTGAACTTCCTGGCTGACTTATTAAGAGTATCATAAAAATGATGATAATCGTCTTCTACAACACGCAAATTTAATCGAAATCTACACCACGCAAAGGCATGCTGGTCTACACATGGGCCTGGGCCTATAAAGTACGCTGCGCCCCCGAATTCTTTTTCTGACTACGCCCCTGCTCACGGCGCTTGCTAATTATTAGGTTGAATGGAAAATCTTTGTCACTTTTTATCTTACCTTATATAATTTGGTCGCATATTTTTGTGTGTGTGTGTTTGGATGTCACTTTCGAGGCCCGATTTGAGGGCCATCCCGTGTCGAAAATGCCCTAATTCTCCGTCGCCCGGAGGAATCGACCCACCTCGTTCCGATGTCGTTTCCAGAATCCCGATAAAATATAAGTTTACAAAGTTAAAGCCCGTTTTATTAATTTTTGGGGATCGGGAGGGCTAATTTGCATAATGTGAAAAAATACAAATTTCCTCATTCTTGCCAGTTGCACTCGCGAGTTTGGTCGTCTCTTTCGATAGTAGTGGTTAGCGCTTCGCCGTGCTATTCTAACCATCGGAGGTTCGATCCTCGGATATCTTAGTTCTTTGCTTTTTGCTCGGAAAGTGCCGCGGGCCCAAGGACAGAGCTAGCCGTTCAAAATTGCGCCGCAGGCATAAGTATGAAGCTAACCTCACAAGCTAACGCAGCAGGCTTTAGAACGAAGCTGGCCCCACAAGCTAGCGCCGCAGGCTTAAAGAAGGAGGTAACCGCTCAAGCTTGCACCGCAGGCTTTATCTCGAAACAAACCGCTCAAGCTGGCGCCGCAGGCCAAAAAGGGAAGCTAATCCCTCAAGGCAGGATGGGGACCCAGCCGTTCAAACATGCGCCACAGGCCAAATAACGAGACTAGCAGTTCAATCTTGCGCCGCAAGCCAATACAAAGAGGATGGCATGGGAGATGCGTTTTTCTTGCTTCAAGGTAACATTATGTGGAAGGGCGCTCGATTCATAGGACCTAGACGGGGTCCAGCGGGGGTGAGTCGCGAAGCGGCTCCTCCCCCGCTGGTTTAGTGAATAACTTAAAATAGTTTTCGTGTGATCGCTAAAATACTATTTTTTACGCGATTCTCATCAGTTTTTTCGGCTATGTTTTTCGACTTTAAATCGATTTGCATCAACTTCCGGTTGCCAATCCCTAATTTCGTTTAATATCGGAGATGACTTTCGTTACAAAAATCGTTGAAATCAACGTTTATTTCATTAATTTTTATCAGGAAAAAATTTCTAGGGCTAAAGAAGGCTTGTCGTTTCATTTTCACTTAATAATCGAAGGGTCGATTCCGACGAAAACCTTATGAAAAACAAATATAAAGTTTATTTTTGTTGAATCTCGGAAATTACTGTAGCTGGCGGGCTATAACTCAGGATTGTGGTTATTTAGGGTGTAATACACCTCTGGTCGAATTTCGGGACCGATCGGATGTAATACGGCAAAATGCCCGGAGGGGTGCTTTTTGATGGGACACCCTGTAGTAGGATAGCAAATTTTTCAGTTTTTTTTATCTGTGTGCAGTCATTCCGGATCATTCTACACCCAATGCCGTTTCTTATCCATGGAAAAAGCTTCTATGAGGCTCTTGGTGCAGAACAACGTTACGGAAGTTGCATGAAAATGCACATACACACACCACCACTAGTTTACTAATAGCCCCTATTGCTGCTCAGGCCCGTAGCGGAACCGAAATTTCGGGGCGGGGGCAATTTGGCGACCTCGCCCCCCCCCCTCCCCCGTCGGCAAATCGCGTCAATAATAGCGCCGCAGCCAAAAAAATCGCAAAAAATCGTTCGCTACACTCAAATCCATGTGCAAACACGGCAGAAAAGGCGCCGCAGGCCAAAATTTTTTATGAACCATTGATTCACTAATGAAAAACCAGCGCCGCAGGCAAAAATGTAGAAAAAATAGGCTTCATATAAGAAAAAACTGTTTGAAAAATAGTAATAAACGGCGCCGCCGGCAGAAAAGTTTTTGTAACTAAAAATCGTAAGGGTCCACCCTTATGAATTTTTCGGATCTCGACCGATTTCGGGTGGGGGCCCAGGGCCCCCTGGACCCCCCCCCCCCCCTACGGGCCTGTTGCTGCTTTGCGCGGACAAAATGTGTTCGTCTTATCTTAACACCAGGATGTGGGCGTGCGTCGATATGGGCGTGCGTCGATATTTATTTATGCTAATTGGTATGCGGCGGGGGGATTTTGATGGCCAGCCCGAGATGTAAGATACTGGAGTTGCATCGGAGCACCCACCTGGAATATTCATTACAATCATCTTGAGTGTTGAGGTTTATTAGAAACACTTTCTCAAACCGTGGCTTATTTTATACCAGTTAATGTTCCTCCTCATCCCTTGGTCGCATGAAATATCGCCCCAAATGATCGAGCATGGCCGTGGTGTACGGTGTATGTTCTTTGGCTCTCACACCGTCGGTATATGGCCTGACCTGACCCAACTAAATCTCTTCATGGACATGGGCATTTTGTCTTTGCATAGGTGTGTGCCAGACGGCCGTTCGTTCAGCCTATCCAACTGCGAAACTAACCGCTTCCGCCTTGAGCTTCCACTGCTCCATGGTAGCCCTTTGCAAGTCTTGCCAAAACTTGCGTGGCTCGCTCGTATATCCCACCAATGTATCGTAAAAATGTTTCATATATTTCATATTATATTCCATCGTACGGTCCAGTGTCCACCGCTCGGGGTATTTTGAGACCTGAGTAACAGATATTCTTTCGGGAAAGTTCGACTCGATGACGACAAGTGATTGTGAAATTCCATCGGGTCTGAACTGGGAATCTATCAAAATCTTGAAATACGAATCTCGAATTTCAAAATCACGACGATTACGAAAGCGAATTCTCAGAATCTCGAAATTTACATTGGCTGGATGAAGGCGCGTAAATGTGCTTGCATTCTTGCAGCTCTTAATGTTGATTTATACTATTGAAGTTTCACAATTTGAAAATTCGAGATTATGAAAATTCGAGGTTTTGAAAACTCGAGATTGTGATCGATAATCGTCTAAACACATGAACTAATCTCTAATCTCTAATCGAATTGGCTATCTAATAATTTCCACTCCACTCACAAACGCATATTCGATTTTGCCACGGTAGGTGGTGACCGCGTCGCTTGTGCGCAATTCGCCATGCCGCACACAGATTTCGACGATATCAGTTTCATCAGCATCAACGCGACATCTCTAGAATCCATACATAACAATAAGCAACGCTTCTGGGAGTTAACGACTACGGGGCAACCACAATTTCTAGTCAGGTCTAACTGTGTTACGTGATACGTAGTTTGACGACCACCCCACAAAAATAGGCAACAAGGTGGGCGCTAATCCATTACAGTCGAAGTCATTCTGAATGCTTATCTACGTTACAGTTTCTGAATGAGACTCGATCACTTGCGGAACGGAAATTTCACAACGAACAAGATCCTGAATACAAAATGTTAGTTTTGGACACCAAGTGCAACCCCCTTACATCGGTATTTTCTATCTCTTCTCTCCAACACCAGCTTAACAGGGATGCAAAAAAATTGGCGCTATGGGACGGCCGCCCAGGGTTCTCCGGCGAGCACGCGGTAGAAGTCAGTGGCTAGAAAAATATTTTTGTACTCTTTGAACTAACCAGATAAAGCTCCTCATTCCGAACCCGTGCCAATAGATCCCGGCAATATAACTCGAAGTGACGGAAAAAGGATTGTTCGATATAGAATGGAAATGTCCGCTGACGGCACGCTGCCTATCGCCAAAGCTGTTTTATTAGGTGCTATAAGCAAACCATGAAATATTGGATTTCATACGTCACGAGCTTCCTGCGGTCGCCGACATGCTTTGGGGCGTACACAATTTTTTCCACCCCGTTGCCATAATTGTGGTAGATCCCGAGAATAGTTGCAAATCGGCCGGGTGTTATCTCGGCGACGAGATCTATGGGCACATGCTGATTCTGAAAAAACCATTATTGTTATTACGCCGCACTGAAGGGCTCCTCTCCCCGATGGCTAAAAATCCTAGGTCAACGACCCAAAACGGCAGCGCGCCCGCTGTGATATATGTGGTACCTACCAAATTGCCACTTCCTGTCGCAATACTGTACGCTTCGACTAGGTGTTGACGGCGAAGTCTGTCAACCTCTTCTTGGATAGGGCACGGAATCGAAGATCTCAGGACCTTGCGAAGATCTTGCCGCAGTTGCTCATAGCGAGTTGGTAGAAGCAGCTTCGAATCATTGTGGAAGCGCTAAAATGTCGAGTTATTCGGGCTCAGGCATACTAGCTTTCAAAGATTTTCATTCACCTCAAGACACCGTTTGCGCTCGGCCCAGAATTCTTGCATGGCTAAATCAATTTCGGCTTCGCGTCTTTGTTGATCAGCTATCTTCCTTTCCAAGACCCGAAGGTTGCCTTCGGCGATCTGTGCCTGGACCTTATAGGCGTTGATACTTGCGCTTTCTAACTCATCGAGCATACGCTCAGGTTCGTGAGGGCCGACGCTGTTTCCGGTTGGCGGGCTTTGTCCGCCAATCATGTCTTGGGTGCTTTGGAGATTTTTCTTAAACTCGATTGGAGTGGCGGCTTTAAAACCTTGAGGAATCAATGATTGGCGCGGGTTCACCTCACTGATCGTTATGATTTCTTCTTTGTTCGACGAATCATATCTGCTGGGGACCTGGAATCCACCAGTTGGTTGTCGAGTGATGCATGAACCAAGATTGCGAGGAGCTGGCCGCACGGGCTCACAGGTAGGGCCGCATCTGTCTGTGGAAATAGTTTCCACAAATTTTGGGAGGCCTTGCGGTTTATTCGCACCGTCACCTGAATTCAGAGGACCATCATCCAGTGGTTGCTCTTTTATGACTCCGCGAACCGAGCCAATACTCCTTGACGCAGGCGAATGCGTATTTGCAATATAATTAGCCTCGGAATTCAAGGCGGTTTGCCCCCCAACATAATTGGCAGATATTGGCGGGAACCGTTGTAGCGCCGTTCTTGTTCCGGCCGAGTCAAGGGCACCTGTAGGCACTGGCTTGGCAGTACTACCTTCGAAATTTCGCCTCGCTGTCGCCATCGCCTCAGAGGGCACCATGTTCATAGAAGCACAATTGCTAGAGGCCAGATTGGGTGAAACCGGCGAGGACCCGAATCCTGCCCGGATTGCGTGGTTGCCAGACAAAAAAGAGCGCTTGGCGACGATCTCCGCAGCCACTTTTGCCTGTGCATCGTGCCGCATCTTGATGGCTTGCTCGATGTCTCGCTGAAAATTGGACTATGAACACACCTCAAAATACAATGCTTTATCAGGACTGCCCGTCATACGTCGCTCGTTTTTCAAACATTTTCAAACGTTTTTCGGCGTCTAGTTTCCTCTTTTGTAGGTAAACATCATCCATATCAACGACCTTTTTGGTCTCCTCTAGGTCTTCCTGGTAGGAGACCAACGCCTTTTCAAGAAGTGGGCGAAAATTTGTGGCATATGATCCGAAGGCCTCGTCATCCCACGCCTAAGAAGCCTAAAAAACGACGACCCACGTGAATACCGCTGCGATGGTGTTCCGACAGATGGCACACTGCCGCACGAGCGCTTCGTCTAGGCATCGGTTCCGCAATAAAATTAGCTTGTCTTTGAGGATTGGCTAGAATTGTAGGTACGAAGGAAAAATGCTGATTACCCCGTAACGACTGAACCATTACTTAAAACCGCGCCTGTGTTTCAATGTGTTGAAACTTTCACCCTTTTGGTTAGAACAATAGTTTTGAGCTAGGGCAACTATTTTTTTATGTCCAAGTTTTCGGCGAGTTTTTACATTTGCATGAATTGGCGTCTATATTCCAAAGAAATTCACCGCTTGGAGTGGCGATTACCAGTAAGCCTTAGATTAAAAGGGGCGAATAATGCGAAAACCACTACTGGAATCTTGAACGTTTCTCACACCATTATGTACCTTAATTTGTCCCTCCAGGACATCGTCGCCTCCAGCATAGTTCGGCAAAACTGTTAGGAATTGGACTGCGTCGGCAAATACGCTGAGCTAAACGATTATGACCTACGTGAATTTTGTCGAATTTACCCTCGCTATGTCCGCATGGACCTTTTCAAGGCGGGCTCTTCTTTTAGCTTCTTTTTTCCGCGGTTATTTTTTCTTCCTGTAGCGCGTGTGATTTTTGTTTGCATGCCTCCTAAAGCATCTTATTGTTGCAACTGCAGAGGAAATAGGGAAACCCGCGAATGCAACGCGCGAAAGGGCCTTTTCGCGGGCCAAAAAGCAAAAACCAATGCAGCGCTCGGGGGTCGAACCCGGGACCCCCGTTTTGTAGGCCTGGATGCTATCCATTAGGCCATAGTGGCAAGCCATTGGATGGGATGGGGACGCCAAAAGAGGGAAAGGTGGTCGGATTCTGTGCGGCATTGGGGGCCCCATTACCGCACAAAATTCGAGCGTCATTTGTACTGCCCGGAATCCATAACTATATATTTGCCGCCAAAACCCTTTATCCTTATCCCTTTAAAGCTCACTGACCTCTAGCTTGGCCAAACCCTCCTTGACCGCCTCCTCTTTCGCGCAGGCGTCCAGTGCTTCTAAGCGTATCCGGTTTTCCACCATAGTCCTGTAGTGGCTGACGCGGTAGTCAAAGTGTTCTGGGAGAGACCCTATGCCGCAAATGTTAGACAGATCTTCAGTCTTACCGGGAAATTCAAATCAATCCCCTCGAAGGCCTTATCGATGACGTTGGCGAGCTGCATTTTTCGAATGGCATCAGACTGGGTGCTGTACCCGGGTAGATTATTATTAAGGAAAGCAACTATTTCCTATAAAAGTTTTGATCTGCAATGTATCTATGGTTGGGCAGGTGCCATTAATGGAACAAGGCGCTTAACAATATACCTCCCAGTACTCCAATTCTTTTCGACGGCGTGAAGCGGCCCTCAATCCATTTTTAAGCAAATATTTTTTCACGGCGGCTAAGCCGTCGGCGAAGGGGGCGTCTTCTATCTCTGCAATGTTTTTACATATATAAGTTAAAATGTCCAAAAGCTCGGAAAGAAGGGCGGAGAAGTGGCAGGTGTGCTTGGCCAAAAAGAAAATGACCAACCACGGAGCAGTGCAGCGGTGTTGCTACAATTCCTAATATATTCGGAAGGGGCTGGTAAAAGAATGCATCCAATCGCATAGTGCTTTCGCAGCGATTTGTGTGCGACCGCCAGCTCTTCAGAGCGCTGGCCATTCGTCTATGGATCATGGACAGATAGATGCTAATGGTTGCACTGACAAACCCAGATTCGTTTTAGAAAGTCACTGGGAGACATTTCAGGCTGAGCAAAGTCTCGAATCAAGAAAAGTAGCTCCTAAAAAGAACCCGGATTATAGTGTTTAATATAATTTGTTCGTCTAATAAAAAACTTTCAAGGAAACCACATCACCTTCCCCGCGTCATTTCCTTTCATCAAGCGTGCAGCTTCGATTCCGCGGTGGACGGTGCGAAGATGCTCCCCATCAAGCGTGGTGCGCAGGTTGATGATCTAACCGTAATTTCATTACCGTCATGATTGATGTGACCCGAGAAAACGAACCTGTATCCCCGCCACCAGCAAACTCAACGCCATGATCCAGTCTGACATACAAAATTCGCATCAACAAGGTCTCACTGCGGCCCTCGAGGCTTTTGAACGAGGTAACAATCTCAAGCCTGGAACAAAAGGGACAGACCCCAGTGCACCTACACCAGGGCTTTAAACGTGGAACACGAAAATACTTTGTCACTTTCCAGAATGTATACCTCACGTTGGCCACCATCACGAAGAAGTGCAAGCAAACCGCGAGCGCTTATCAGGTCTTTTGGAGGTGGGTTACGCACGTCGCTCTTTCTGTATCTATGTTTATAGAAGAAACTCATCGACCTGCGGCACGGCAATGCCATGAGCTGGACGAGGACAACGGGCCTAAACCACGTTGAGGGAGCCATCGCTCAACATAATTCCTACCTCCAAGCCGTAGGTTTTAGATGGGTTTTAGATGGATGGCATATGCGCGAGTTTCCCCGCGTAACCCGTTGCTTGAGAATTTTGATTTACCTGTTACAGCGGTCGGCCACGGTAACGTCACGTGGTGATGTTGAAGCCGCAATAATTATTGCTAAACGTCAACTCGAACAGTGGATAGCTGAGGAAGAGGAGACGTTGATGCGGGCCATCCGGGAGGAGCAACCTCACTTGGACCCGGAAGCGACAATCAAACATTTTCAAACGATACGTGAACGTGGCTTACCACAAGCCGTCACGGTAAGTAGAAATACTCTACGGAATCCAGGCCATGTCTTTTTTTTGCCCTCTGCAGGGCCTCGCAGCAAATATAACTAGAAACCAATATTCATGAAAATTTAATGCATACGGGTGGTCCGGGGTAAAGTCACTACCCCGAAAAGTCACTACCCCGAAAGTCACTACCCCGAAAGTCACTACCCCGAAAAGTCACTACCCCGAAAAGTCACTACTCCGAAAAGTCACTACCCCGAAAGTCACTACCCCGAACAGTCACTACCCCGAAATAATTTGCATGATTTTCATAGGAAAACCGCATGAAAACTGGATTTTTCCGGGAAAAACAATGCTATGATTTTTCAGGGTAAACGATTTCGGGGTAGTGACTTTCGGGGCAGTGACTTTCGGGGTAGTGACTTTTCGGGGTAGCGACTTTCGGGGTAGCGACTTTCGGAGTAGCGACTTTCGGGGTAGCGACTTTTCGGGGTAGTGACTTTCGGGGTAGCGACTTTTCGGGGTAGTGACTTTTCGGGGTAGCGACTTTTCGGGGTAGTGACTTTCGGGGTAGTGACTTTCGGGGTAGCGACTTTTCGGGGTAGTGACTTTTCGGGGTAGCGACTTTTCGGGGTAGCGACTTTTCGGGGTAGCGACTTTTCGGGGTAGTGACTTTCGGGGTCGTGACTTTCGGGGTAGCGACTTTTCGGGGTAGTGACCGGACGCCGGTGGTCCTTTTGCTCCCAGAGAACCCAGATCAACTTCAGCTTGCCCGAGACGACTTTCGCTCCAGAATGTCAACCGCTATTGAGGCCCGGGAAAAAGATACGAATATGCAACGCCGCCTAACGATGCTTGAGAAGCGGGAACTGATGAGCAAGGAGATGCTGTCAACTAGTGAGAGGCAGCGCCAGGCAGAGGCCGAGCGGCGTGCGATGGAGACCGAGGAAAATAAGAGGATGTCTGAGGGAGCGCGCGTACAAATGGAAGCCCGCCTAGCTATCTCCGAAAAGCTGATGAATGATGCTCGACTGATGTGAGTCCCGTCCCGTTGTTCCAGATGCTTGGAAAGGCGTGGCGTGGCGTGGCATATTACCTTGACCTTTTGGAACGACTTGGCCTGCATTTCAGGTTTGAGAACACAGAACCCACGATTGGCATCGATCTTGGCACTACATATTCCGTCGTGGCAGTCTGTCTCGGCGACCAACCAGTAATTTTGCACAACGAATACGGTAAGGGCGTCCAGGATCGTTGCACAAATGGGCCGATGAACGGCACCGTTTAAAAAAAGTGAATTTCTGTGTATTTACTCGTTCTGAGCCTGATGTCTTTTTTTAGGCCGTCGGACCACGTCATCACAGGTGGCATTCACTGCGCAGAAGACTTTCGTTGGCGATGAGGCCAAGCACCAAGCGACGAGGAATAGTGGGAACACCGTTTACGGTAGATACTCTTTACGAACTGCCAACCAGCCGGCTTGGTTTTAGAAGCAAAGCGGCTGATTGGGAGACCGTTTTGCGATGCCTACGTCCAGGCCAATCTTAAAAAATGGCCCTTTACCGTGGTGGAAGCTGATGGAAGACCGGCCATCAAAATTACGACTGAGGAAAAAGTTCAACAATATACGCCTGTTGAGATTGCCACTTTATTACTGTCGAAGCTTCGGGTGAGTCTTGAGGCTTTGAAGGCCCTGTATTAGAAAGCCGAATTCAGTGGTAGAGCTATCCTAGAAAGGCGAAAATAGCACGGCAACATTTTAGAAACTGGCTACAACCTACCTGGGGCGCGAAGTCAAGAAGGCCGTGATTACCGTGCCTGCTTACTTCAACGACACCCAGCGAAAAGCAACCCGCGCGGCTGCTCAGGAAGCTGGACTCGAGGTCCTCAATCTGCTGAACGAGCCGACTGCCGCGGCGCTCGCCTTTGGTTTGAAATGCAGGGATCAAATGAATGGCACTTTGCTCGTCTATGATTTTGGTGGCGGCACTCTCGACGTGTCGATCGTAAAGGTTACGGAAAATTCTTTCGAGGTGAAAGCGACGTGTGGAAATCCACAGCTCGGAGGGGAAGATATAAACAACAAGATGCTCGAATATCTTGTTAATGATATCAAGGTCAACCATGGCAAGACCTTTGACGATGAGCCAAGAGCTCTTGCGCGGCTACGCCTGGCGTGCGAACAAGCGAAGATCCAGTTGTCCACGGACACTGAGGCAAGTTGCACCGAAGTTCACATCATCGACAACCAGGCCCGTACGAGGGAAGGGGGGCACCGGGGGAACGGTGTCCCCCCCGAAATCTCGGCTCCAGTACGGGCCTGTCGACAACCACTAACCATTTTCGTCAAACATTTCATTTGATTTTAGGCTGATATCTACATTGGGTCTCTCCTGCTAGACTTCAACTATCGGACAACGATTACAAGAGCAAAGTTTGAAGAAATTAATGCTGAGATATTTGCCAAAGCAATGCTTCCCGTCAACCAGGCCCTTCGGGACGCCGATTTCGCGCCGCAAGAGGTTACAGACAAATCAGTATCTTCCTTATGAACATATTCAGATTGATAAGGTCCTATTGATTGGCGGTTCGAGTCACATCCCGGCGGTACAAAAAAAGCTGCGGGAACTATATTGCTTTGAATCTTTGCACACAACAATCGATCCCGAAGATGCTGTAGCTTATGGTGCCTCGATTCAGGTTTGTTTGGCACGAACCCCACGCCAGGCATGGCAGTATACTTAACGTTAGCCTCCAACCAACCTCAGGCAATTACACAAGCAAATCATACAGTAAATTGTTTTAGAATTAGCCTAGTATCGACCTTGAGTAAGAAAAAAAAGACGCAAGACACAAGGGACGCGACAAGCGTGAACGGATTTCGGGACGATTCTAAAAACCTTTTTTAACGTCATACTATACCTGCAAGCTACCTGGTTCGGTTTAAAGGGATCAGGAAGGCCCAGTAGAAGAGGGGCAACGAGTTAACCGGAAATGCTAATGCAAAAACGAGCATAGAGTGAAGAGCGGCAGGAGGGAGCCGAGAAGATTTATGTGAATTTTAGAACCAAAGCCCCTTTTATGCTACATTTTACTGTACCTTACTGTTCCCTTTATAGACGGGTGGTATTTAGGCAGCGAAGCTCTCAGGGAGCGAGTTTCCGTCGATCCGGAGTCTCAATTTCACCGATGTGATACCGTTATCGATCCGCATCGGCCATTGGGGCTGTACAAGCACTCGCATGTTCCGACGAAATTCTACTTTTCCGGCGAAGGAAAAATTGCTGCTGACAAACGTGTTGGACAACCAGAAGAAACTTGACGCCCTAGTAAGTGAGCGTTTGCGGAGATTTGTAGGCGCACATATCAGCAGGCATGAAAGCGCAGCTTAGCAACTTTTTGGAACTTACAGATATACGAAGGTGAACGATGTGACGTTCGTTTGAACAACTCGCTGGGCAGCGTCACCATTCCAATCTCCAGCCCAAAAGCTGGCGACGCGAATGTTGAGCTGACCTATGAGATCGACAGTGACGGTACTCTTAATGTGACCGTCGAGGACTTGGCAACGGGAAAACATGGGGAATTAATGATCAAACGCGAGGAATTTGGAAAAACGACGGTTGGTTGACGTTTGTCATAGGCTTGGGCTGAAGTTCAGTTCTCGAGAAAGTAAGCAGTAATCTTAAAAGATTGATTTGTAAACAAGTTCGCGTTTCAATGACAAACCGGAAATGACTCTAAACTTTCTTTAGGTTTTCAACATTGAGCACTACCTGGAAAGAACTTTGACCTGCGAAAGGGAGGACAAGGACTTCCAGGAAGCGCGCGATGCCTACTTTCAAGTGAAGGACTACTCCGAGAAAATGAAATGGCTCGATGGCGGAAGGGTCTCTACACTTAGAAATAGACCAGGGTTGAAAAACCGCTTCGCGGCTTTTCAACCCTGGCCCCGTCTAAGATCGATGAAGTTATCGACTTTGCATAATTCTTGCCGAAAACCGCTCTCCAAAAAAATGAAAAGCGCGCCCTCTCGTCCTTTTTATAAACCATTTCCACTTCCGGCGTATGCTAATTTATCCCTAACAAAGAGGCGAGCCAAGATTTTTACAAAAACCTAATTTTAATATCGAAAATAGCAATTTTTCAAAACTTTTATGTGTGTGCAGTCGATTCCGGCCCCTTCTTTACCCTATGACGTTTCTTCCCTACCGAAAAAATGCTTCCCTGAGGCTGTAGGTGCGGAACATCCAAACGGAAGTGCATGCAAATAGACACACACACACACAAACACTATTTTTTTTATACCAGGGTTGAAAAACCGCTTCGCGGCTTTTCAACCCTGGCCCCGTCCAGAACCTGTGAAGTCCTTAATTTGCATGTTTCTTCCTGAATTCTAGCAAAAAAAAAGTGAAAAACGGCTCCTCTGTCCCTTTATATAGGCTCTTCCTATTTCCGGCGTATGGTAATTTCCCCTAACAAACAGGGTTTTACAAAAACCTATTTTTAATAGCGAAAACAGCAATTTTTCAAAACTTTTATGTGTGTGCAGTCGATTCCGGCCCCTTCTTTACCCTATGACGTTTCTTCCCTACCGAAAAAATGCTTCCCCGCGGCTGTAGGAGCGGAACATCCTAACGGAAGTGCATGCAAATATACACACACACACACAAACACTATTTTTTTATATACCAGGGTTGAAAAACCGCTTCGCGGCTTTTCAACCCTGGCCCCGTCCAGGATCTGTGAAAGTCTTAAATTTGCATGCTACTTCCCGAATTCTAGCAAGAAAAAAAAGTGAAAAACGACTCATCCGTCCCTTTATATAGGCTATCCCCCTTCCGGCGTATGCTAATATCTCCCTAACAAAGTAGGAAGCGAAGATTTTTACAAAAACCTAATTTTAATAGCGAAAATAGCAATTTTTCAAAGTTTTTAAGTGCGTGCAGTCGATTCCAGCCCCTTCTTTACCCTATGACGTTTCTTCCCTACCGAAAAAATGCTTCCCTGAGGCTGTAGGTGCGGAACATCCAAACGGAAGTGCATGCAAATATACACACACACACACACAAACACTATTTTTTTATATATAGTAGGATAGTAGGATAGTAGGATAGAATACTATCGCAACTAATTATTGTTAGCTCTGCAAACGTCATCAACCCACAGGAATATCCATGTTTAGTTTGCCAAGCTGACCGATGAGGGACGGAAGCAAACCCAGAAATTGGGGGACACCTACTGCACATGGTCCCACGACAATGTCAACTTGGCAAATCGAGACTCAGCCATTCAAAAATACGCTGAAATGCTGGCAAAAGAGAAGGAAATTTTAAAAAAATGCATGTCCGAATAGCTTGGCGAATGTGATGAAGGCTTCCTTACCATCGAGGTTTCGCTATCGCGTTTCCGTTTTGCAATCGATTTTATGCGCCATTTCGAGAATCGGCCGATTTACCGCAATAAATTTACAATGATTGTGTCGAATGTTCCTCTTATTAGCTTTGGTCTCTTCCATAATAATTCGATTTATTCTGGTCACGCCAAATGTTATCTATAGATTTCGATCTATTTGTGCGTGGTGGTGCCATTATGCGCTTCCGGTTTCTTGCCATATTTTTCCTTGATGCTGTTCACCTAAACGGATATTTTTCAGTTTGTCAGATTTTTACTAAAGCCCCCTGACCTTCATATCGGCACTAGATCCAAAAGACAGGCGAGGCCTCAAAATAATACCTTCGGCTTTGTCTGCTCGTTTAAATTCGCTAATCGTTTTTCCCCTTTTGCTTTGTTGATGACCAAGGCTGGTTCGCTTGAATTTCCGCCAAGGTTTATCTAAAAAACCAGTATATTTTATGACTACATTATTAAATAATAAAAATAATGTTGAAAAACGCACTCGAAATAATTTTCCGCTCAGCGGATCAAATGGCTTTGGGTGTTTGCAGAAGGTGGCGTCGAATTCGTAGAAGAATTTTTTAAGAATGGTTTGTTGCAGGAAGGTTTTTTAACTTTATGTGGAAGGGCGCTCGATTCATAGGGTCTAGACGGGGTCCAGCGGAGGAGAGTCGCGAAGCAGCTCCTCCCTCGCTGGTTCCGGTTATAATTCCGATAGACAGCTCGGAATATGTATTTTTAGGTGTTCAACATCTCCCACTATCTGAAGAACTGGAAGCAGTGCGAGGAAGCGGACCGGACCTTCCGTAACAATGTCAGTGCGCTGGTCAAGTATCGCGACACGGCGCACGGTCTGATGTGGCTGACGAATCCTCGGGTAAGTCCGAATCTGCATTAACAGCTGTTGAAGAGCGCGATTTTCTAGCTAGTATCGTCCGAACTCGAAGCCAAACATTTAACGGCTCTTTATGCACTCTTCTGGCCCATTTTTAAAATGATTTATTTACAGACCGAACACCTGAGCGTCGATGGCAAACGACGTATCAAAGAGCTCGGCATCGCAGCCTACGAATGGGTACAGGCCAACCGCTATCGTCCCGATGCCGAGGAACTCTATGGTCGCACCACCGACCTGGAGCTCCAGATGAACCAGTTTATCGGTTAAGGTCATCTGTTCTTCGTTTTTTTTATTCAACTGTATAAAGTTTTGTTTCTTTACAAGGTCACACGCGGTTCCGAAATTAGGCGACATGGACTTCATCCATTTTGCGCAAAAATTAACTTAAAACCTTTGGAACTTTTTAAATCAAGCAGCTTGGCAAGCGTGAAAACATATTTGAAATCAACGAAAAATCGGCACAATTTTGCCACCATCCCCAATTGAATTGTCCGCACTTACCGCCGTTCCCGTTCGAGTCATGGCTTCGATCTTTCAACACAACACCAGCTTTTTGCAATGAATTCTCGCAGATTACACTATTCAATTTTTTGCGGATCCCGATTCTGTCCACAAAGTCTTTGTTCTTACCCCGGTGCCCCAAAGACGCGTAGGGCCATTTTGTTGCAGATAAAATGGCTTGGGGCGAAGTCCACTGCGATACCGCATCGGCGTTAAACCGACCCAGCAATTTGGATCATACCGATAAAATAAATGGCCGGCCATGGCATCCCAGACACGCGCCAAAAGCCGCGCGTGTTGTACGATCAAATCCGCTTAAAAATCAATCCAAATAACGCTTCAGCACTGCAAAATATCATGACATGCGCTAAATCTGTAAGGTAACGATAACCATGAAATTGCATTAAAATAAAAGGTGGGAATCGCGGTTCTGGTGGCTGTCGAGCAGACTTGCTCATAATACCAAAAACTCCCCGCTTCCGATTAACAGCCTAATGCAACCGGAACCGTATTCAAATGAAATGTCGTCTACAAATTTTCAATGTAGAGAAGTACCGGAAAAACATAAAGTGGCTGGCAACTACAATCAATTAATGAAGTCCATGTTGCGTAATCCTTTGGCAAAACCACGTTCGTGGAGATCCGACTAAAAGTAAGAAAAAGCTGTTAATTTTTTTGCAGCCAACCGTCTCGCAGAGCAAAGATTGAAAAGCCACGCAGCTTTTTTCAACTCTGTTCACCAGTTTGAAATTTATTTCAAGCTAATTTCCAAAAAGACGACGGTTCCGAATTACCGATTCGCACATTCTGACGTATATCGTGGTTGATCAATTTGCCGCCGTACATAATTAAGCATATCCGTTGCGTAGGCGTTACATTCTTCTTTCTTCAGAGCAGCCCTGGGAGTCGTGATATCACCCATCTGCAACTTTCACATTGTTTTTATTGTTTAGTCTTATAGGTGCTTTCAAGACTCCTAATTGGCTGGATCAGGAGGTTTTTGAAAGTCAATACCCACCGCTTCCGCCTTGACCTCCCACATCGCCATTGAGGCGTTTTGCAGTTTTTTCCAAAATTTTCCCGGATTTTTTGTATGCCGAGCCAATGCATCGTGGAAGAAGGCCATGTATGCCAGGGTGGATTCTATCGTGTTGACCAAAGGCCATTTTTCCGGATAGTTAGAGATCTGAAGACTCAATCTTTTTTGACTCGTCGGTTTGAAATAGATCACGAAAACTTCTGCGTAAAAAGGCACCCTTTGTTGCCATTGAATAGCGCTGTTGTAGTTGGCACTTACAAAGAAATCGATCTCCCCGCGGTAGTAGATGAACGTCTCCGGCTTGCGAAGGCTTCCTTGGCGAAGGCAAACCCTGGTGATATTTTCATGGGCAGAATTCCTGTGGGGCTGCAATAGAGAGAGCGTTTAATGAAATCACCGCGAACATTTGGTTGGGTCATCCAAAGTCAAGCCCAAAAAATATCTACTTTACCGTCGAGTTCAATTCCCGCGCATCAGCACTTTCTAGTCTTGCGTCAGGATATTTTCCGGTCAATGACCAACAGTCGAAAAGCCGAAAAAACCCTTCCGCCCCCCCGGCCGTCTGACTAGTATACATTGGCCGTTTCAATGTGTCAGTATACAGCTATAAAAGAATATTATTGTGGTAATCAACGGACCAGATATAACGGCTCGCCCTTATGCTGTTCAAATTCCCAACGACAATACAGCTCAAAATGGCGCAGAAATGAGTGCTCGTCTTGGAAGCCAAGTTGATGCTGACGACAGTAAGTCTGCAGGCTTAAATGGTTTGTGCTGAATGCCAACCCAACCGTAAAGGTCTTGATTTTATATTGTACTGATGTTCTGCAGCTCTTCGTATCGGCAACTGCCCTTAATAACCTCTGCACATCGTCCGTATAGTTGTAGAAGACTTCAAGTATATTATCGGCATTTGGAGGGCCGCTTCCTATTCCAGATACGATGTCAACGTGTTGATCCTGTAAACGTACATCAATGGATTGTAAGTTTCGAATTGGCTCGTGACCGGCTTAAAAATAAGATACCAAGTTGTCGTTGCCTGTTGCATCGAAATATGCTCGAGCGGCCGCTTGCCTCCTGTGCGTGGCCGACTCTTGTGCGTATTTATGGCCGCGGCTGGAGCAGTTGATGGCCTCACGCAGATCCAGCCGCAATTGCTCCCGGCGCATGGGTGAAAGAAAACAGTGATCATCGTGGAACCTCTAAATATTTTAATATCTGAAAAGTTGTGATTGGCTGAATTCAGCGCGCCACTGCGTAAAAACGGTTTATTGCTTTTCAATTCGGGAGACGCGAACGTTGCAAATACGAAGTTTACAGAAAATATCTGAAGTAGTACCTTCGTGCAACGGTCCCGGTCGATGTTGAACCATTTCATATCCGTCTCGATTTGCTCCATGGATTTTGATCGTCTTTCTAGCTCTTGCTTTAGTTTTATTGTCTCGGCTTGAGCCATGTGGAGCTGCACTTTCCACGCTTCCGTGCTTAGCTCGCCTTTTTGCAACATCAGTATTTCGTCGCTTTGCTCTATTGCCGCCAGGCGGCCATTTGACTGCAACCGCTTTTCACGTTGGCTGGCACCAGCGACTGCGATTGTGTGATTCGTTGTGGAATCAAATGCTCGATCGTCGCCGATTACCTCATCCGCGCGGCTCCCAATCTTGGTCTTGCTAGGTGTAAGAGTCAATAAAGCGCCAGGCGAATCTTTACGGTTAGCCCAGTCAAGCACTGTTTTCGTCGTCAAAACTTTTTTGGATTGCCGCGCAGTCAGCCCGGAACTAGAAACATCATTGTGGAAGCCCAAAGAATTCATATCCTGCCGCACCTCGGTCTGAAGCTGACTAGCTACCTTTGAGGCCGGTATGAACGAAGGGGCTGGTTCTGCATTGGAGTAGATTGTAGTTCTTTGTGTCACCGATTTGTATTGGTGAAGATACACTAATTTTCCACTCACTTGGGTGCTACGTGCTTCGGTATATGCGGGTGTCACACCGCCCCAATGACCAGGAAGCGTTTGCGCGCACGGCATCTGCTTTTCCGATGCAGCGGAATCCTTGAGAACGCGCTGGTCGGGGGTGGTTTCTGAGGAATGGGCGGAGTCATGACTCGCTGAACGCACATGAGCATCCGTATTGCCCTCCATATAATCATGTTCGTCATCTACACGTTTTCGAAAAGGGCGATTGCGCGAAACCGTCGTATCGACATCAAATTCCGCACCTGGTTGAGAGACGGGCATATGAGGGTCAGGTGAAAGTTGTGATGTGGCAACATAAATATTTTCATGCTCGCTGCGTGTAGAGTTCGAATTTGCATTTCCATCAACAAATTTAGTATTGTTATGATGAAGGGTGGCTTGGGACAAAACGTTTAGGGGTTGAGTGGATGCGTTGCATACAAAATCATCTTTGTCCTCCGATTTTTGAGTTTCATGTAATTGAGCATCTCGCCTTTCATACCCTGGATCCGGTATTTGGACAGAATTGCGCTTTTTTGTATTATCAATGGGGACGGGGTGGGGGGCACGGTATGCAGGACTTTGAGGCTTCTCTACAGGAACCATCGGGAGTTCCGGACGTGGTCCTTTTTCCTTTTCTATTTGCCGGTTTTCCTTGACGAGAACGTTATCAAACAATTTGTTCGATGTCGTCTCGTCTAAGCTCGACTCCGTGATCTCTTGTTTTTCCGCCATTGTAGGAGTCGAATGCCCTAGCCGTGTGTTACGCCGTAATGTGGGAATGCGGTTGTCCGTAGGTGGTTCGCAACTTGAGTCTTGCACATATTCCGGCTTCTGGAAAAATGAACTCCGACTAGGAACCGCATTGATATTTGCCACGGTAAGACACAAGGCCGGCGCAGCGCTAATGTCGTAGTCATCCTTAATCGGACCACATTCGATGTCCGAGGAGGTAGGTTCCCTTCCGGAGGATGCCAGTTGCATCGAATAGCATCCTTGGACAGATCCAGCATGAGGCCCGCGTGTTAGCGGCTCTTCACTAAAGACATCGTCGTGCTGCTGGCCATGGGTTTGGTCTTCAGGACGCTCTGCGATTCCGGGTTCTGCGATCGTAATAGGATCGTTCTCGGGGTTCATAGCAAGATTGGGCGGGTTAGAGTCACTATAAGTACTGCGAGGATTATCACTGCCAGTTGGCGGATGGCGTTGTAGCTCGCTTGCACCGGCGGCCTCCTCTAGCGGTGCCGATTTGATAAAGTCCTCCCGACGCCATGTCTTCTTAACTGGTCTGTCAACGGTTTGCTTTGCCTTGCCTTCCACCGCATCCGTAATTTCCAACCTTCGTACCTTAAAATCATTCGAATCGACATCCGTGATAGACTCTAGTGGTTGTTTCTCGTTAAAGGGTGGTAAATCAACCCTTGGTAGAGCCGGCGGCTCCTCGCTTAAACGTTGATAAGAAGCTATATTGACGGCCAGAGGGTCATTACATTTTTCTCCATCAATTCGAAGCCCACTCACACTGGTCACTATCGGAGAGAGGTGCGCAGTCACTGCGATTCTTTCTTGCGGATCTCTGTCATCCTCATGGATTTCAGTGTGATGTGAAAAACCGTGCATAACATCCATTCCCATCGAAATCGAATAACAGTCTCGCAACGTTTCATTCTCCATAGCATTTTCTCCATGAATGGCTACAGATTCGGAGGCGACTTCTTGTTGGCCATCCGTTTCCTGCTGCTCCGGGTCGTTGCCCACTAGCCTGTCTGGAATTGATTCTTCTGCGAACTTAGATAAAACAAAGCCTAATTCACCACTTTTCTCTGTTTCTTGGAAGTGCACGCTTACTGCGTGTTTTTGCTGGGTTGCAGCGTTTCTCCCTGTCTTCTCCACATCAACTGCAAAGGATCTGATCGTTTCAGGCTGCACTTCTGTGGAGATATTCACAGTCAGCAGCCGTCTTTCCAGATGCGGGATTTCTTGGCTAACACCTGCTGGCTTTGAAATTGTTTCGGCTAATTGAGGTGTCTCTGAGTACAGAGTACCTTGAGCAAAATCTGGTCTGGCCTCATAATGATTAGCGTCCTCATAATGCTGTGTCTGGTAGGCGCTGTCAGAAAACGCTAAAGCGCAGCTCAATGCGCTGATTTCATAATCAGTTTGTTCCTGACGATCTTCTGAAAATTCCGCGAGAGCATTTGCAAGATCTGCCTGAGTGCACTGCCCCAATTTTTCCGCTGCCTTCGAGGAATCTGAATCGACAATGCTGACTTCTTCCACAGAAAAACATTTTTCGGAGTGTGCGTTTAGAGAATTTGTGTCGAACGAATCTCTAACCAAAGCGTTTTCAGCTTTGTAGCATCCAGTGTCGTCATTTGTCCATTCCATTCCGTTTCCGGATGCGGGAAGCGGTTGCTGCTCGTTTTCGATAATCAGAATTTGATGGTTCACCGTCGTACCCCTGGTGGGTTCCGATCTCAGTACTAGGTTCCGGGAATCGGGGAGGACTTCTGGATCATCTCCTTGATGAGGCTCCACCAGATCCTGCTCTTCTCCATATGCAGCCCTCGTTCGCTTTTCGGCTGGGGCACCAGTTGCCACCCGTTCTGCATCACCGTTAGACACCTCTCGTTTGCGCAATGATTCTTCACAATGCAAGAGCTTGTCAGGGGTATCAGCGACGTTGGGATTGGTAGTAGGTTCAGGCAATGTTGATTTCCTCTCATATCTGGGATCCGACAGCAATTCTTTGACGTTGCCCTTTGTATCACTAAAGACGGGCTCGTTTATCTCTTGCTTTTCAGGGGCTGGCGATTTGGCAGGAATGAGCTTTTCCCGAGCTATTATGGCGGTGTGGATAGCATTCTGAAAATTTCGCTTTGGCGACGCTCCTTTACAGGATTTTTGATTGAAGATTATTTGACCGAATTGAGGATTTAAATTTTTAGCTGATTGGAAAATCAATTCTACCTTTATCTCCTTCATCGCATTGTCCAGTATTTTAGCCTCGGCCTTCTCATCAATTGGGACAATCAGCTTGGCTTCGTCAATCTTTTCACGGAAGAATTGGAGTTCCTTTTCAAGCAAGGGTTTGTTGTCTGCGGCATATTCGGCAAAAGCATCCTCGTCGATCTACAAATCGGGTATACAGGGTGTCCCAAAAAAAACCCCCCCCCCTCGGCATTTCGCCGTCTTCCATCCAATCGGGACCAAATTTTTACCAGTGATGGGGACCCATAAAAACTATGTGCAGCCGAATTTTCTAAGCAAAATATTGTAAAACAAAGAAGATATATCAAAATTAAGGTTAATTTTGCCGATTTCACTAGGCTTTTTACGGATTTCGGCCTCGAAATGTTTAGCAAAAATGAAGAGGGCGCTCTTTTCTACCTGTAGAAATTTTTTGATTTACGAAAATTACGTTTAAATTGGGCATTTCGATCACTTTTTATTATCGAAATTGCCAGAAACTGACCGAGAAATGACCATTTTTTGGAAAATTACTCAAAATCCGCATGCTAATTGCGAAAACATAGCCAAAAACGAGTACCAGCATTTTCCAAAAATCAGTTTTTTAGCGATAACTTTTTGGTTTTACAATATTTTGCTTAGAAAATTTGGCTGCACATAGTTTTTATGGGTCCCCATCACTGGTAAAAATTCGGCCCCGATCCGATAGAAGACGGCCAAATGCCGAGGGGGGGTTTTTTTTTGGGACACCCTGTATTTGTGGCTCGAATCTCACCTACCGATATTATATGATCCTTGCATCCCCAGCACTGCTGAGCGATGGCTTCGTTTAAGCACGGATTCAGTAAAATTGATAGCCGTTTTTCTAGGGTTGACTAAAAGGGTAGTTGTAGTGGTGATGAAGGTCACGAACTGACGAAATAAAAGTTTATGCATAATAACCTTATGCAATAGGCATGGTGATAGTTTACGCAACTGATCATCCAACATACCTTAATCTGCTGTTCGAGTATCGTATCGCCATTTGTATACACGGGCAACTCATGTAAGAATTGAACTGCTGTCGAAAATTGGGTAAGCTGAACAAAACAGGTAATAATTATTGGTTAGAGGAAATAGAACCCTACCCTCCCAATGTCCACGTGGGCTGCCTGCGCCTGTTTTCTCCTTTTGGCCTCTTTATCGGCCAAAATTTTCTGATCTTTCAGAAGCTGCCGTTTCTTCTGGTATTCGGCCTGGAAAAACCCGCACTCAAGTGGTTTGTGCTGGGAATGTTTTTTTAAAAAGCCAGAAGTCATTGGTAAATCATTCGTAGGCGCAAGTTAAAGAGAGAATTCTCACATCCAATTGTTTCAACCCTTGTTTTATAGCATCATCCTCCATTGTCCCGAGATTCTGTTTTTTGAGACCGAGCTCCAAAACCCGCTTGTAATGCACCATTTGTCGATCCAGATTCTCCAATGTGGCTCCCTAAAGCAAAATCTGGCTGCCCAATTTTTTCAAACCGGGAAAGCCAGGTCCAAACTCGCGAAGGCACTCTCGATAGCCTGGGACATTTGGAGATTCTGCGTCAGTTCGGAACGACTGGTGTATTGGGGGAGCACATCATTGAGGTACGCAGCAATTTCCTAAAAATTAAAAATGAAAGTAGACGCTCAGGGATAAAGTGAGGCCCAGACTAACCTGCCAATATGCCCAGTCCATTCGGCGAGCCGAGGTCGCGTCACCAGAGTTATTGATCAGGTAATCCTTCACAGCCGTCAATTTTTTGGAAAATTGTCGATCCTCAAATCCTATAATCAGAAGTATATGAAAATCAAATCGCAAGAAACTATGCTTGAACCCAAAGAGAGGGAGCTACCTGCGCAGATGAACGCGACACCATTGCTCGTCTGTATGTGCTGACCAGGAACCGGTGAAAGAATACAGCTAATTTCCGACCGACTTTGTAGCGATCTTCCGACTTCGGCGAGTTCTTCAGATTCCCGACCCGATTCCTATGAAAAATGAGAGCTATGGGTCTGACTAACCCAGAGCCGCGCCAAAAAATCCTCCGACGGCATATCAGGGCAAGCGGCATCGCGGATCATGAAGAGCAATTTCTAAGGTTATAAAGATTGTACTTACTTGTTATTGATTACTTGCTACTTTTATTGCTAGTTTATAAAAATTCGATACCACACCTTTCCGATAGCATGTTCCTTCATGAGGTAAGCAGCCTCGAGGGTGCGATGGACGGTGCGAAGGTTGTCACCATCGATGTTTACGCGGAGGTTCATAATCTAGTTTTTTGTATTTTTTTAGTTGAGTTTAAATCGCGGACGTGCAAAAACCCGGGACTGATCAAAACCGGGGCTTGGAAGGAGGTCAAGCTGGAAATCTTACCTGTATTCCAGCGACTAGCCAGCTAAACACCATGATCCAATCTGATACCAACGGATCGCTTTGTAGATCAAAGGTGCCTTGTGTGTCCAAGAAGAAAACCAGTGTCTGCAAAAATCGGCTAAAATCCATTCCACCATTCAACTTGACAAACCCCATCCTCGAGTTCCCATGGAGCCTCGAAGATTTGTATGCCCTCTGTGTTACGTGCGTATCCGCTCTTGAAGGGCCCCCGAACCTGCGGCTTGCCTAGTCTAAATCATGCAAATTAACTCAGACTTATTAGGGCGAGGGCGGTCGTTGTAACATACCTTGTTAGGTATGCAATCAGAAAGCTTTTGCCGGTTCTCGACGGACCAGCCACACTTACAAAGATAATCTGCAAAGCGATTCGCTGTGAATGGCTAAAGCGGTACCTTTTTGTCCTTGTACTTTTCGTTGGCAAAAGTCTTCCGAGCACTTTCCTCGATTAGAGCAACCTTGCCTCCATCAAAAGAGACAATTTTGAAGTATTGCGGCTCCGATACCATACCTGAAATTTTTCTCCGACAATAAGAACTACAAACCGTATTTCCCCTAAATAGCCCCCACCTAATATACATAATCGCCTAAAAAAATATTTTCGAGATTGCCTTTAATAACTAAAAATTGACCAAAAATATTTTTTTAAGCTTCAGGCTGTGTTTCCGAGTGCTTGGTAGCAGTTTGCACTGGTAGAAATCGTTGCAATGTCTCAAAATAATGAAATATCCCTCGATTTAATACAACCCCCCCAATCCTGAAAAAAATTGAATCGAAAAAATATAGCCCATGGAGTTATATTAGAGGAAACCAGGGTTGAAACGCCGCTTCGCGACTTTTCAACCCTGGCCCCTACAGACCCATGAAATTCTTCCCTTTCCATAATACGCCCTAACTGCGATGAAAAATAATGAGAAACGATCTCTCTGTCCCTATATATAGGCTACTGCAACTTCCGGCGTATGCTAATTTTTGCTAACAAAGATGATGGCCGAGAATTTTACAAAAACTTAAATTTAATGTCGAAAACAGCTGAATTTTTAGAATCTCATATGTGTGCAGTCATCTCCAGACCATTACGCATCTAATGACGTATCAAACAAACTTTAAAAAAACTCCCCTTTCCGAGATATCCTCCGGACAGAATGACGGAAGTTGCATGCAAAGTGGCACGGACACACACACAGACACTATTTTTTATATTAGAGGAAATACGATATAGCAATCATGAATTCAACGTCAAGATACATAAACACCGAGTAGTTGAACAGCCGATTCAAAATGGGAATTAAGATAACAAAAAAAGCTTTTCCATCACATTTTGTGACCGCCTCAATTACCGTAGTGCAGTAAGATAGTAAAATGAGCAAACACATGATCGGGGACATTCTGTTTACGCGGAAAACCGATTTCCACGTATGGCCCCAATTCTATGTAGACACAAATTTGCAGCGCAAGAAAATTTAGCGGGTGCTCCTTGATAAGGAGCGCCTAACCATCTGCACTGGCAGTTATTTGAGAGAACTTTGTGACCATTTGCCATACCAACCAATAGGATAGTTTTTTATACAATGTATTTCGTGTTAATCCTGACCATAGTTTAAACCCGGTTTGGAAATGGTATAAAATAATTTTACCCATAATATCATCAACCACCAACCTAACAAGGTTGGAAAAGTGTAGTCGCTGGTACCTGACGATTTAAAAGTTTACCAAGTCCTGTAGTGTCTTTCGACTTCAGTGATTCCAGTACCTCTTCCTGTATCTCTTTGTTAACTACCTATTTTCTTTTAATAGTTCTGTCCTGTTGTCCTCGTATTATTCGCGGCCTAGAGCGGTAAAAAACTACGGAAATGATCAAATCAAGTTTCCCTACCGTCTCGATGTTTTTAGCATACGTATTCCTAATTTTATCTTTTCGGGTTTCTTTAGATCTCTGTCGGGTTTCAGCAAGCCAAAAACCCGGCATGATGAAAGACCCTTGACGAAAAAATGATAATTCTCTTCTGCAAGAAGATTGGTGCGTGCAAAAAAAACTGTCTATGACTATACGCCCGGAAAACAGCGCTTCGATAAGAATCTCTTGTGCAAAAGAATTCTGACCGTGTAGGCCGGCGAGATGCATGCCATCATTGCTTTTTGCTCAACCATAAAATTGCGATCTAGTTACAAAACAGGATAGGCTGACCTTCGTAACCGTTATTTACTATAACAGCTTACAAAAATAAAGTTGGTTTTCAATGCACTTATTTTACTTTTTTCCACAGTGTACATCCCGATTCTGCGCTGATCTAAAGTGTTACAGGTGTAGCTCCCTAACCGTAAGCGATGGATACCCCGGAGCCAACCGACGAGCTAGATGCCGAGTTTGAAGATGTCCCGCAGGAGTTTGAAGTAAATTTTAGTTCCAAGTTTTCAATAATATTTAGGCCCGGAAAGCCATGAAAGTGCTATACGAAATCGTTGCTGGTCAGGTTGTTGTGAACCGAGAGTTGTTAGATGATCTCTGCGATCAGATCGGCTCGCGCCCGGTGATATTCAAATTAGACTCAAATAATGATTCCTACTCACAGGTGTCTTTAATTTCGACTGCAGGAAAGGCGCGTTTCGGCAAGACGTTCTTCCAAAACTTCCTGCTGAGAAAATTGCGCACTGGTAGCTCGGACTTCGGCGATGATGAACTGATTGGGTGGGTTGGAAGAATTTCTGGAAAATCAGGATCATCATCAGATTCAAGGCTTGAAAAATTTCTTGGATATTTAGGGGCTACAACGGGTTGCCCTTCAAGGGAGGATACGATAGGCATAGTAAAGGTCTACTGGTCTGGCCCGAGGTTTTCACCGCTACTTATGACGGCGGTAAGGAGGTATGTCATTTGGCTGTTTGCAAGAATTTTTTCAGATTGCTGTGATCATCATGGATACCCAGGGAACGTTCGATAATCAGGCCGAAATTGACGAGTCGATCAACTATTTTTCGACGTCTTTGCTTTTGTCTTCAATCCAGGCAAGTCCAGTTTTCGATTTGTCCAATTGCCAGAGTCGCCTCGCGTTTCGCTTTGTATTTAACGGAGATTTCCGGCAGTCAGAAAAAATTGGATTTCAGATTTTTAACGCCAACTCAAAACTCGATGCAACGGATTTCGATAGTCTAAGCACGTTCATCAACTACAGCGGAATGACCGGCACAACGATTAACCAAGTCAGGGAATGCGTTCTAGCCCACACATCGCAATTTTAGCATATGATCTTCCTGATCCGTGATGCAATGACCGGGGCCGGGCTGAGTCCTGAATTCTTGACGGACATCCGAAAAGGCGCGCTCAACTCTCCTGGGCTATTTGGACTGGTCAACGGAGTTTTCAACGCATTCGACCGTGCCGATACCTATCTGGTGCCGCCACCAAACAGAATTGTGCGCAGTATGGATTCGGAGATTCTGGCAAAAGGTACTCAAAATCATGCTTTTATCATTCATTTTTGAGTTGTTAAAACCGTAACCCACACCATTGGGTGCTTTTCCAGAGTGTGGTCGCGAATTCTTGACGTGGCTCTCTGGGGCTGCCAACTTTGTGGTTGGGCAAGTTCGTCCGAAGTGTATCCTGGGGCAACCTCTCGATGGCCCAGCTTTCAAAGAATGTGCCCTGGTAGATATCACTATATTGCATTCTATACATTAACTTTAGCAAATCTTCGAGAAAAGTCGCAGTCGCGCCAAGAACAAGATCGGCACCTTCTTTGATGTAACCTTTAAATCTCATTAATTTGAAGCCGCTATTCTAGGGTTGGCGTCAACTGTGGCAAGCGAAAGCTTGCGCTGCTGGCCTTGCTCGTTATGAGGAGCTGTGGCTAGAGGTTAATTGGAAAACGGGTAATATTCCGAATTTCTAGGAGAGCCATGAGATCAAAGATCCAGAAGTTTTTGATGAGCGTGCAGAAGAGATTCTGGGCGAAGCCATGGAGGTAAAGTTTGCTGTCGGCTGTGATGCATAAAATGAAAATTTAGAGATACTGTGCCCAGCCAACCCCGGATGATGAAACCAAGTTTGTCGAAGAGGAAAAGTTTAGAAGGGAGCTGACGGTGGGTCGTAGCAAGGAAATAAGTTAATATGTTTTAGCTAAAAAACGAGAGTCGCTGCCAGGTCAACGCCATCTTGTACAAGAAAGAAAAGGTCGGCGGGGCGGTGGATGGCGCATTGAAAGCATATGACCATGTCGTACAGGTTAGTTTACCTATAATTTGGCTGAACGTAATGGCCCTGTTGTTGACGCCAGCATGCGGACAGGGTTGTTAAAAATAATTGTATCGTTGACTTAAAATCACGGTAAAAAATTTTTAGCCCTCACTGAACCAATTTTTGGATGACGTTACGCCAGGGGACATTCAGGAGACCCATAATCAGGGTCAAAGGGCGGCGCTTGAGGCTTTTGATGAAGGTAAGTATTACCGTTTTTCTATGATTAAATGATCAACGTAGGGCGGGATACAGTAACAGATTTTTTCAGTCACCACCCCTTTCCTCAATGAATACTATGGCGAAATCAGGGAGAACCGTGAGCGCCTCGCCGCCCTATTGGAGGTTATTATATCTTCCAAACACGGATTTCGTTTTCAGAATAAGCTGACTGACCTGAGACACGGAAACGCGTTGAACTGGATCAAAATGAAAGGGCTGAATTTTGTGGAGGGCGGAATCACGCAATACAAAACCTTCTTGATAGAGGTTTGTCCGATAGGTACTGGTGGATTAGGTTTTGTTTTTCTTTTCAGATGGCGCCCACCATCAATATTGCCGCTGATATCGAAGTCGCGATCGGGAGGGCTCAACAACGACTTAGAAAATGGATCGCCGAGGAAGAAGATAGCATTTTTCACAACTTCGACGCCGAACAGCCCCACCTTGACGCGGATACAACGAAGCGGCACTTCCAGACAATCCGTGACAGAGGCCTACCTCGCGCAACGATGGTAAGCCGCCAGGGGCGTACACGTCCCCATTTTTGGGGGGCAACTCGAAAATTTCTGGCGACCCCCCCCACCCCTCACCCCCTGTCGCCACTTTCAAAACAATCGAAAATCGCTGCTATAACAGCGCGTTTTACGCACAATTGATGCAGTAATGAAAACCCAGCGCCGCAGGCGAAATTTTTTTGAAAAATAGGCTTGATTGTAGTAAAAACCGTCGTAAAAGCAGTAATAAACAGCGCCGCAGGCAGAAAAAATTTTTTCTAAAAAAAGTCGTAAGGGTCTCCCCTTATGAACTTTTCGTCTTCGGCCGATTTTTTTGGGGGGAGGGTGGGAACTTGCCGCTGTTGACCCTCCCCCCCTCGTACGCCCCTCCCCCTGTAAGCCGCTAATCACAACCTTTCCACCCTATCGAACCCCAAACATCTGATTATATACACATATTCCATTTCAGAGTTGCGATGAAGATTTCCGTACAAAGATGTTGGCTGCTCTTGACATACGTAAGAAAGGCGAAGATATGCAGCGCCGCTCTGCTGAATTGGAGGACCTACGCGCGACGCTACAGGAACAAGCCGGACGGCTCCAAGCGGATGGTGCTCGTATACGGAAACTCGACATGGATAATGCGGACGCACAGCAAATGGCATTGTTGGAAGCGCAGAACAAAGAGGCGGAGGCGATGGAAAAGCTGCGGCTCGCCGAAGAAGAACAGCGTAGGCTCGAGGCGGACAAGCAAGCCTTGCAAGCCCAAATCGGTAGGTAAACCTGGTGCTACACTCAAATTACTCAGCTTAAAGATACAATCAGCTCGGCATTTTACCGAACTGTCCAAGCGCCAGGATAAATTTTCAAAACCAATGGCAATGTTTCAGCTGCGCAGCGAGACCTGACACGTCAGAGGCTAACCGCTAGTGAGCGGCGTCGCCAGGAAGAGGCGGAGCGCCGTGCCTTGGAAACCGCGGAGCTTCGAAAAATCGCCGACGGTCTGCGAATTCAGACGCAAGCGCGTTTAGCTGTTTCTAAGAAGTTGATGAATGATGCTCGCTTGAGGTGGGTTACGAAATCAGCCCGATTGAAATATGCGTCTAGATTCGAGAATACGGAGCCCACGATCGGCATTGACCTGGGGACCACTTACTCCGTCGTTGCAGTCTGCCTCGGAAACGAGCCGGTGATTCTTCCGAACGATTATGGTGGGGGCTTTTCTACTTAGACCAATGCACAACCCATCATGTATTGAAGGGATCAGAAGAAAACACAGGACTTTAGGCAACCACACCACTCCTTCGCAAGTTGCCTTTAGTGATGGCAGAACTCTAGTTGGGGATGCGGCTAAAAACCAGGCCACCAGGAATGCCGGCAACACCATCTATGGTACGAAATTGGCCATTAAGTTAATCGTTTCTTTCAGAGGTGAAACGCCTTATGGGAAGACCATACAAAGACAAACATGTCAAGGCCAGTTTGAAGAGCTGGCCTTATGAGGTGTTGAGTGTTGATGGGATGCCAATCATCAAAGTTGTCAATGATGAGGAAATCCAGCACTACACACCCATCGAAATCTCAACAATGTTATTGGCAAAATTCCAAGTAGTTTCCTTTGGCAAACTTTTATGCGGTATTACAGAAAATGGCCACGGACTATCTCGGCCGTGAAGTGACGAAGGCTGTCATCACGGTACCCGCCTATTTCAATGATGCACAGCGAAAAGCAACGAAGGAAGCGGCACAAAACGCTGGACTTGAGGTCCTCCGACTATTGAACGAACCGACGGCCGCTGCTCTGGCTTTTGGACTGGGGAGAACCATCGATAACAAACGCACTGTGCTCGTCTATGATTTTGGTGGTGGCACCCTAGACGTCTCGATTGTTGAGATCACGGGTACAAAGTTCGAGGTTAAAGCAACGAGCGGGAATCCCCAACTTGGCGGCGAAGATATCAACAACAAAATGCTGCAATATTTGGTTCAGGACCTGGAAGAGAATCATGGAAAAGATATCGAGGATGAGCTACGGCCGATGGCCCGGTTGCGTTTGGCGTGCGAGCAGGCAAAAATCCGGCTCTCAACTGCGAACGAGGCAAGTCCCCCTTATATCGGCGTGGAAAACTACACGTGGGTGGCGGCTTACAACTACAAACGGCGTGGCCACGCTTACAATTAGCACATTTTCATAACCGCAGCTCAATATCGATAACGTTTTAGGCTGAGATATTCGTTCCGTCGTTACTTTTGGATTTTGACTACCGCACCATCATCACGAGGCAGAAATATGAGCAAATCAATGGAAAGCTTTTTAAAAACGCGATGCTGCCCGTCGAACAGGCCTTAAAGGACGCGAAGCTGGGACCAGAACAGGTAGCTCCGCTAAATGGAGAGCATATAATTAATGAACTTAGATCGACGATGTCCTACTAATCGGTGGTTCCAGCCACATCCCCATGGTGAGACGTTTATTGACGGAGGATTATGGGTTCGAAAACCTGAATACGTCAGTTAACCCCGAAGAAGCGGTCGCACACGGGGCTGCCCTTCAGGTACTAGAAATATGAACCGCGCCACGTACAAAAACTTTCAGGCAGCCAAGCTCGGCGGAAGCCAATATGATGCGATCCGAGATATCACCTTTACTGATGTTTACCCATTAACGCTGGGCACATCCGTTTTTGGTGGCAAAAACGCTGTCCTTCTGCCAAGGAATACCAAAATCCCGGCCACGGTGTCGCAAACCTTCCTAAATTGCGCTGACAATCAGACGGAATTATTGATTGACGTAAGTGGCGCTGCGGTCGTCAAATCCCGGCCCCATTTTCTTAGACATCAAACAAGGTACACTTCAGGTCTATGTTGGAGAGCGAGTGCGATATGAACACAACACACTACTGGGCAAATTTACACTTCCGATCCGTGAAGCTCCGGAAGGCGAAGTGCAAGTAGGCCATTTTAACAAATGTCGGAAACTGTCATAATTTCCAGGTTAAAGTTACATTGGATTTGGACTCGGATGGAATCATGACGCTGAGTGCAGAAGAGTTGCTTACTGGAACCTCGGACTCGATAAAAATCACGCGTGAAGACGCTCCCGTGGAGATGACGGTGATGCACCGCCAATAAAACTTACCAGAAATGAATTTTAGTTCGATATTGAGGATTATCAAGAGAACATTGAGCGCTATAGGAGAGAAGACGCCGCATGGGAGAACCAATATATGACGATGATGACGATGCGACGGAGCTTTGGTGGATTGGGTGAGATAATCGATTTTGCCGCCTAGCTCTTATGAATTCCTTCGAGTTTTGACGCTGTTGGATAAAAACTATCAGGTAGCAGGACCGAATGAAAACCAGATGCAACGCCGGCTAACTCAAACCCTTTAGGGGGACTTGTTTCCGGGCTACGCAACAGACTCAACCTCAACAATCTCTTCAACGCCGCGGACAGCGACAGTGACAGTGACGACAGCGATTGATTCATGCTGTTCATAATTGTTTATGCGTGATGCATTGAATACATTGTATAATACATAGCTTTGATTTTATGTATTTTTTAAATGAATTACGATACATCACATAAACCACTTAACTTTTGTTGTCCTAGCCCTCGGCTCTTAATACACCAAAAATACAGTAAACTTCTAGAAATTTCATGAAATTCCCCGGTAGCGTCAAATAACATAAAATCACAGCCGAAAGAAACGGCGTAAGATCCTTAAATTTTAACCAGGTCTTTAATTTTTTACCGACAAAATTTAAGGACCCCGTAACAATCTAAGGACCCAGAAAATTTTTAAGGACCCGAATAATTTTAAGAACAGCGCTAAAATTGAAGGGCCCGGCTATCAGTACAGAGCCTCGAATTGCCCAAGCCGTTCATGTCGGTGATGGACAGGGCGTTTATCAAACGTTAAATGCGTATGCAGGAAGCAGGGTTGGTCATTCCGCGAGCCGGCTCTGAGCCGGAGCTGAGCGGGAGCAGGAGCCGAGCGGGAGCTGAAAATTTTCAGCTCCCGCTCAGCTCCAGCTCTTGAGCCGGCTCTTTTGGAAAAGAGCGGGAGCCGAACCCTGCTCTACTCCATCGAATGCTGAAAATTAGTTATTTATGCCAATCTCCCAAAATTCCAAAAAAATTGAGTATTTTTGGCCTTGCATTGCCTTATTTGCATATTGCTTATTCGCATTTGAGCGGGAGCTAAGGATTTATCCCGCTCCCGCTCTTGAGTGGGGCTCGCAAATCAGCTCCCGCTCCCAGCTCCCGCTATTTTCGTGACCAACCCTGCCAGGAAGTCATAAATTGAAACGCATTTACAAAGCAAGAAACGCAATTTTATTCAAGTTCAGAAAACGCATGAGGTCATTAGGGGCGTGGCCGAGGCCAAGCGGCATTTAGGCGTAACATGGTCAGTTCTCCCAAGTCTCGGACGGCTTTGGCCAAACACGAGCTGGCCGACGGCATATGGAATCGGTTGTCGGCCCTCGTGATGGCTGTTTGGACGATTCCCATCCAGTAAGCGTTTTCCTTCGTCGAATGCATCCCCGCCGACACGTAGTTGAACCAATCTCGGACATACGCCGGTTGGCAGCGTTTCTAAAGAGTAGGTTCTAACGGTCGCAGCAGGCACGGTTACCTTTGAAATAGTTGCCAATCGGGTAGCCCATCGATGGATCAAAAATAAGTCGAGCACATCACCAAGTTCTTTTTCAAAAGCAGGTCCACTCCTTGCGAAGTCCTTCCGCAAATTCTCGTAAATTGTCTGCCGAAATTTCTGGCACAATCTCGTGGCCACCAACAGCGGGTATTTTCCGGAACAGCCGTCAATCTACAAAAACAGCAGACACAAGCCAAATCAATGATAAATGGTAGTTTTGGTTGAACGCCAAAAGGTTTTCCGAAAAGCGCTTCATAATGTTGTGTCATTAAAATGTAAGATCATACTTTCAAGGCAATAGCGTCGTAGATATATGAATAGACTGCGACATGTTCTAGCTCTGGAGCTGCTTTAAACGTCGACAGCAGTTCCCTGTCGGTCCGGCTGATTTTAGACTAAGAATTAGCATAGATAACATCCACGTGAAAATATGCCTCCACATCGTAGATCCAACCATGTCCACCATTTTGCATGTAAAAAAGATCGGCATTATTTTGGAGCGACTGGCTTATCGACAATTCCACGTGAAAGGGCAGTTGCTCACTTGCGCAATCATTCTAAAAAGTATTTTTGACTTCTCTACCCGCTAGTGGCAAATTTATACTCACCTCAAATTGGGAAATGATCGCCTTGACAGTCGGCAAGAAAGTCTCATCTCTCTTCTTTATATGCTCACGGATGTGACGCACAGCAAACGCAAATTTGTTGTCGACGCGAGCTAGGTGGCCAAAATTGACACGCCGACCGTCACCAAGAACTGTTGCGTTATTGGAGAATATCATCTGGTCCGGCTGTGTCTTCTGGAAATATATTGTCTATCTTGAGTGCGGTGGAAAACGACAGACAAACGACAAAAAACGAAGTGGGGATTGCTGTGTCACAGGCAACCGCAGAACCAGTGATACTTGTTGAATGCAGTGAAACCACTTACAAATTCCTTATTGGTGAGAACCTCGTAGGTATGAGATGCGATATTCATGCGTTCGCGTTGAAGGGCTTCATAATAAGGCAGGCACTTATTGTTTTCGTCTCGTTTCAATAAACGAATAATATCGACCGTTAGCTTTTCGCGCTGCACCGCCACCAAAATAATGTTGTCTCTATGGTAGTCCTGAATAATAAAATAGTTATTTTTAAAGAAAAGACGTAAAATACCTGTACAAGCCTCCGGAGATCCTGGCGAAAGTTTGATAACTCCTCAAAAATCAATTCACAGTGTTGCAGCTTGTCATCTAACCCGGCGATTTTCAAAAAGTTGTTTTGGTCTTGTTTGATTAGTTTGCTGTTCTCGTTAGTCAATTCCTCAATTCGTTTGTGCAGGGCGTGATTTTCCAGGGAAATATTTTCGGTGTGAGGATTTGACTGTTCCACACTTTCGGCTGAGATAGCCCCTACTGATGTGGACTCGGTATTGTAGCCCGAATCCGATTCAAGATTTGCATGAGCTTTTTCTGCGAAACCGTGTTGTCCAGGACCTTGATGAGTGCCGTATATTTCGGGTTTGTTTCGGACCGATTCAGTTTTTACAGCCATCGGTTCTTCTCCTTGCAGCTGTTTCATGGTCATATTCGCATGAGACAATACGGAATTCGCTGTCGCGATCTTATGGAATCCTTCGATCGTCAGCGGGGTCTTCGCTTCTTCCACACCCTTTACGGTATCATGAACAACAGATATCTTGCTACAATTGCTGCTTTCTCGTTGTGTGACTTCAGATTTTTCCGTTAGTCTGATCTCATGCTTTGCGATGGGTGATTTTGGGCGGCGTTCAGCGTCCAACTGCCTTTTTTGCAGGTTTTCATGATTGCTCACCGCCGCTTGCAGGGTTGCCTGAAACGAAAATGATAGAAATAAAGCAATAGAACACGAATAGCCTCCGAAAAGAAGCTGAAGATTTAATAGCATGTCTATTGTTTGCATTGATAGCTTGCGAGCCCGGAAAACTTGCATTTAACTGCGACCGGCACAGGTCGGAGACTTTCTGGACATCTACTTCGTTAATAATATCCAGACTCCAGAGGAAACTAGTTGTCTCCGAAACCGCCATGGCACCCTGTTCAATCGCATCAGTGTATCTCTCAGGCTGCAAAGCCTGATTCACGGGAACCTAAGACGGAAGAATTGGAGTCTACGCAAGCAGCGGAGACCTTGTTCAAGATAGCTTTAAGTATCTTGCATTCATCCGCAATCCGATCATTGATACCAGTTTTGGCGACCAGCGTCATTTGTGCTTTGAAGATGTCCTGGAAAATCAATTATCCCAGTAATTTGGACAATATCACCCGCAGCTGATGTTCCAGTTCCGGGTCGCTTTCCGAAAGCTCTGCAAGACGGTTTTTCTCGCAAAATTCATGGCAATCGCGAATCGAACTTAACTGAAAATTCAGAACTTTCAATAAATGTACAAAAGATAAACCTTCGAAATTTCAACTTTTCCGGCTTGTAGTACGGTCTCAACCAACTTTTGTTTTGTCTTCACCTTTTCTTCCCGGGCCATCAAATCGACCATGCGGTTATAGTCAGTCTGTCAGTAATAAAGCTGGCGAGAATCGATGTATTACCGTTAAGAGAGTGAGGACCCCTTCTTCGATTTTCCGAGCCATAGCGGGTGGATACGTGCGGCCTATCATGTTTTGTGCCTCGCATTTTTTGTCGAAGTAATATTGTGAGAGCTTGGGGCTGGCTGCGGCTTTCTAAAAACTTTGGTGGATGGCCATAACTAACCGACCTGATCGTCGATATCAAGTTTGGTGTACGTCTCGTTGATGGCATTTTGGAGGAAGACTGCGGTTTTCGCCTTAAAGGCTTGTGAAAAACTGTGCATCGACTCTTCCAGGAGTTGTGATATATTCTGGAACAAGTATTCATGGAGAATTAAAGCACAAACCCTCCAGTTCTCGACGCCCGTCGCGTCGAGCGCAGATCGATGGCTACGGCCATTGAGGATCCATTTGATGGTACCGGCGAGGGTTTTTATAAATAGCTCGTCTTCTTCGCCTAGATAAGGCGGTATTGAAAATTCAATTCAGAGATCAACCTTGAATCTGGAATTGCCCGCTGGCGGTCTGTGTCTTTCTGGTTGGGGTCGGTGTCAAAATACAACCAATATTGCTAAACAAATCCCGCAGCGAGGAACGCGCCTCCACCAATTCGGTCGATGGTCCAATTCTTGTCTAAGCACATATTTCGTTTAATTCATTTACCATACCCAAAGCAGCTCTAAGAATTCTTGGCCCGGCATCCCGGGTTCGGCCGCGTCACGGACCAGGAAGAGCAGGTTCTAAATGACGAATCCCAAGAAAAAATACGAAAGTTACCGGGGCGATATTGCCCTGGCCAACCGATGATGCAACCTCGGCCGCACGCTGGATTGTCCGCAGGTGAGCTCCATCAACATTTACACGTACATTGAAAATCTAATGGTAGAGATTAACGACCGTTCGTTGCTATAAAGACTCACCAATGCGTCAGCAACCAGCAGATTGAATGCCATGATCCATTCGGAGATATGGGTTTCAGTTTGAAGATCAAACATTCCCTGGGTGTCAAGCAGAAAGAGGGCATGCTAGAGTAAAATGGAATATATCCGTTTTAGAAGTTTTAGTTTTAGAGGGTGTCCCAAAAAAATCGACCCCGCTCTAGCGGACCGCAATCATGTCCGATTGTTACGATTTAGGTATCTATCGAAAGCTCTCGGAAAGGCGAGCAAACAAGCACTTTTCGATTTTCAATGTAAGCCTTTTTATTAGCTAAATTTTGTAACGATATTCATAAAAACTGCAGATTTTATGCAAAATTAGCATGTTAATTGATTGCTAAAGCAAGCAGAAAGACGCTGATACTCTTTTTTAAGAAATCGTCGAATATTGAGTGCAGGCTAAAAAATTTTGTAAAAAGAAATGCGCTTGTTTTATCGCCTTTTTGAGGGCTTTCAAATAAAAATCATCCCGATCCGACCTATCTCCGGATCGCTACAGGGGCGTCGATTTTTTTGGGGATACCGTGTATTACTTTCGCCCAATGCGCTAAAGCCAAAGATACCTTTTCGCCTCCCATTTTGTCATGCCGCGGTAGCTCGCTTATGCGAATCCCTTTGGTCACCGGGTCGTATCCGGTTTGAAAATCGCCAATAATTCTGGGCAAGTTTTAACTAGGTTTTAAAAATTACGTGGTTGGGGTACTCTTATGGTTGTATTGAGATAGGAAAGCGACGAGGAAGGTCTTCCCAGTGCGACTCGGTCCAATAATGCTGACAATCTTAACCTGAAAATGTCGTCTCCTGAAAGTTTGTTCCTTTCTTAACTCACTCTATAATCATGATAAATTGGATTGAGGATCGTCCTCCGTAGTGTCTCCTCGTTAATGTTAATGGCACCATCCTCAAAGTCAACCAACTGGAGATAGGACATCCCTGCAGAGTATCAGTATTCCCATGAAAATGAACAATTCAATAATAACGTTGGTCAGCGTCGGCGACAGCCAAGCAAAACTGCAAATTCTCGCCGATTTTTAGGCGCAACACAACTCTGGGCAGCGGCGATCACCATTTATGGATCGCAAAAGAATTCGGCCTGATAGCGCGCCATATTCTGACGAAGGAAAATTGAGAGATCACGGCAACGTCAGTTCGGCTCGAAAAATCCGCATCTCATTTTCCGGGTTGAACACTTTTTTGCTTTCTGCCTCCGAGGAACTGCTTGCTGCATAGGCGCAACAAAAAAATTTTAGGTTCAGTAACTGTAACTGTTACAATAACTCAGTAGTAAGTACGGAAAAAGAAAAACCAAAACCAAGGAATTTTTGATACTTGCAAAAACGAGATATCTTTGTTTTGAAAAATGGAAACAGGTTGAAGGAAACATCCGCCAAGACTGGTTCTGAATGAAATTTTCGAATTAGAGTAGGCATATTGCTGGCTAATCGCCGCCGCCATCATTCGTGCCCAGCAGGGGCGTAGCTGGCCCCAAGTTTCGGGGGGGGCAGCGACATTTCGGAGGGGGCAGCAAGAAAAATTTTTCGAAATTTAAGCGCCGCAGGCGAAAAATTTTGCTAAAATAGCAGCGCCGCAGGCAAAAAATTAATAAAAAGTAATAAAAACAGCGCCGCAGGCGAAAAAATTTTCAAGATGAAAAAAATCATAAGGGGGGACCCTTATGTTTTTTTCGGGCCCGTCCGATTTCGGGGGGGGCAGCCTGCCCCCGCTGCCCCCCCTTCTACGCGCCTGGTGCCCAGGCCCGTAGGAGGGGGGGGGGGCCGCCCGAAATCGGTCGAGGTCCGAAAAATTCATAAGGGGGGCCCTTATGATTTGTAGTTACAAAAATTTTTCTGCCTGCGGCGCTGTTTATGGTACACATAGGATAACGGGGGGGGGGGGGAAATAACGGGGGGCACTCAAACTTTTTATATGATAAAAGTATTTTTAAATATGTTTTTTTTCGGGCTGTAAAAAAACTCTAAGTATATTTTTCGGTCCTCTATCGAATGGCATTTTCAAAATCTCGAAAATATTCAAAACGCCGAAAATCCCCCCCCTGTTATCCTATGTGCTGCCCATGGTTTTCAAAAATAGTTTTAGGCTATAAAACTTTTATAATACATTTTTTCGCGTTGTAAAAAAATCTCTTAGTATATTTTTTGATGTTCTATCGATTCACGCTTTCAAAATATCGAAAATCTCAAAAATTTGGCTTCCCCCCGTTATCCTATGTGCTGCCCATGGATTTTGATCAATTTTTGTTTATTCGATAAAAAAATTTCATTTACATTATTTCGGGCTGAAATTAATTTTCCTAGGGCAGTTTTCGACGCTTTATCGCATGACGTTTTCAAAATACCGAAAATTTCGAAAATTTAGAAAATTTGACTTTCCCCCCCGTTATCCTATGTGCTGCCCATAGATTTTCCTCAATTTTTGTTTATTCAATAAAAAATTTCCATTACATTATTTTGGGCTCAAATTAATTATCCTACCTTCTATAATTTGGTCGCGTATCTTTGTCTGTGTGTGTGTGCGGAGGTCAATTTCGAGGTCAGATTTGAGGCCCTTCCCGTGTCCAAAATGCCCTAATTCTCCGTCACCCGGGGGAATCGACCCTTCTCTTTCCGATGGCGTTTTCAGAATCCCGATAAAATACAAGTTTACAAAGTTAAAGCCGGTTTTATTGATTTTTGGGGGTCCAGGCAGGCTAATTTGCATAATGTGAAAAAAATACAAATTTCCTCATTCTTGCCAGTTGCACTCGCGAGTTTGGTCGTCTCTTTGGACCAGCCTCTGAATGCTTTTACTTCCCCTGCCCCGGGCAATGCCCAAAAGGGGTTTTTGGCGCGTGCTGCCAAGCATTGCATGGTGTAGTGGTTATCGCTTTGCCATGCTAATCCAACCATCGGAGGTTCGATCCTCGGATATCGTAGTTGTTTTGCCTTTTGCTCGGAAAGTGCGTTTTGGAGTGGATTTCCGTGTAGGAACAGATTATGAAGCTGCCCACTCAAGCTAGAGCCGCAGGCTTTAGAACGAAACTAGCCGCATAAGCTAGCGCCGCAGGCTTTAGAACGAAGCTAGCCGCACAAGCTAGCGCCGCAGGCTTTAGAACGAAGCTAGCCGCACAAGCTAGCGCCGCAGGCTTTAGAACGAAGCTAGCCGCACAAGCTAGCGCCGCAGGCTTTAGAACGAAGCTAGCCGCACAAGCTAGCGCCGCAGGCTTTAGAACGAAGCTAGCCGCACAAGCTAGCGCCGCAGGCTTTAGAACGAAGCTAGCCGCACAAGCTAGCGCCGCAGGCTTTGGAACGAAGCTAGCCGCACAAGCTAGAGCCGCAGGCTTTAGAACGAAGCTAGCCGCACAAGCTAGCGCCGCAGGCTTTAGAACGAAGCTAGCCGCACAAGCTAGCGCCGCAGGCTTTAGAACGAAGCTAGCCGCACAAGCTAGCGCCGCAGGCTTTAGAACGAAGCTAGCCGCACAAGCTAGCGCCGCAGGCTTTAGAACGAAGCTAGCCGCACAAGCTAGCGCCGCAGGCTTTGGAACGAAGCTAGCCGCACAAGCTAGAGCCGCAGGCTTTAGAACGAAGCTAGCCGCACAAGCTAGCGCCGCAGGCTTTAGAACGAAGCTAGCCGCACAAGCTAGCGCCGCAGGCTTTAGAACGAAGCTAGCCGCACAAGCTTAGCGCCGCAGGCTTTAGAACGAAGCTAGCCGCACAAGCTAGCGCCGCAGGCTTTAGAACGAAGCTAGCCGCACAAGCTAGCGCCGCAGGCTTTAGAACGAAGCTAGCCGCACAAGCTAGCGCCGCAGGCTTTAGAACGAAGCTAGCCGCACAAGCTAGCGCCGCAGGCTTTAGAACGAAGCTAGCCGCACAAGCCAGCGCCGCAGGCTTTAGAACGAAGCTAGCCGCACAAGCTAGCGCCGCAGGCTTTAGAACGAAGCTAGCCGCACAAGCTAGCGCCGCAGGCTTTAGAACGAAGCTAGCCGCACAAGCTAGCGCCGCAGGCTTTAGAACGAAGCTAGCCGCACAAGCTAGCGCCGCAGGCTTTAGAACGAAGCTAGCCGCACAAGCTAGAGCCGCAGGCTTTAGAACGAAACTAGCCGCACAAGCTAGCGCCGCAGGCTTTAGAACGAAGCTAGCCGCACAAGCTAGCGTCGCAGGCTTTAGAACGAAGCTAGCCGCACAAGCTAGAGCCGCAGGCTTTAGAACGAAACTAGCCGCACAAGCTAGCGCCGCAGGCTTTAGAACGAAGCTAGCCGCACAAGCTAGCGCCGCAGGCTTTAGAACGAAGCTAGCCGCACAAGCTAGCGCCGCAGGCTTTAGAACGAAGCTAGCCGCACAAGCTAGCGCCGCAGGCTTTAGAACGAAGCTAGCCGCACAAGCTAGCGCCGCAGGCTTTAGAACGAAGCTAGCCGCACAAGCTAGCGCCGCAGGCTTTAGAACGAAGCTAGCCGCACAAGCTTAGCGCCGCAGGCTTTAGAACGAAGCTAGCCGCACAAGCTAGAGCCGCAGGCTTTAGAACGAAACTAGCCGCACAAGCTAGCGCCGCAGGCTTTAGAACGAAGCTAGCCGCACAAGCTAGCGTCGCAGGCTTTAGAACGAAGCTAGCCGCACAAGCTAGAGCCGCAGGCTTTAGAACGAAACTAGCCGCACAAGCTAGCGCCGCAGGCTTTAGAACGAAGCTAGCCGCACAAGCTAGCGCCGCAGGCTTTAGAACGAAGCTAGCCGCACAAGCTAGCGCCGCAGGCTTTAGAACGAAGCTAGCCGCACAAGCTAGCGCCGCAGGCTTTAGAACGAAGCTAGCCGCACAGCTAGCGCCGCAGGCTTTAGAACGAAGCTAGCCGCACAAGCTAGCGCCGCAGGCTTTAGAACGAAGCTAGCCGCACAAGCTTAGCGCCGCAGGCTTTAGAACGAAGCTAGCCGCACAAGCTAGCGCCGCAGGCTTTAGAACGAAGCTAGCCGCACAAGCTAGCGCCGCAGGCTTTAGAACGAAGCTAGCCGCACAAGCTAGAGCCGCAGGCTTAAAGAAGGAGGTAACCGCTCAAGCTGGCGCCGCATGCCAAAAAAGGAAAAGAAGCTAATCCCTCAAGCTTGGGCCGCAGGATGAGGTCTCGACCTAGCCGATCAAACATGCGCCGCAGCCCTAATAACGAGACTAGCAGTTCAAGCATGGGCGGCATACGAATACAAAGAAGTTTGCATGAGAGATGCGTTTTTCCTTCTTCAGGTAACTTTATGTGGAAGGGCACTCGATTCATGGGGCCTAGACGGGGTCCAGCGGGGGAGAGTCGCGAAGCGGCTCCTCCCCCGCTGGTTTTAGGATATTTTTCGACGCTCTATCGAATGGCACTTGCAAAATCCCAAAGTAATTGCAAATTTCATAATAATGAGTGCCCCCCCCGTTATTTTATCCCCCCCCGTTACCCTATGTGTACCCTGTTTATTACTGTTTTTCAAACAGTTTTTGCTTATATGAAACCTATTTTTTCAAAATTTTTTGCCTGCGGCGCTGGTTTTTCATTGGTGAATCAATTGTTCATAAAAAATTTTCGCCTGCGGCGCGTTTTCTGCCGTGTTTTCACACGAATTTGAGTGTAGCGAACGAACGAACGGGCCTGTTCGTGCCTAATCGGTCCAATTAATTTCATGTTACTGGATTCCCAAATTATGGGAAAGGTATCGTTTGCATAACCATCAGCAGCCTCCCGTCATTACGTCCAAAATCTTTTGTACCGACGGGAATTTATTAGTGATTTGAGGCAATACAAATACAACATTTAAAACGGCAAAATTCACAATGTGAAAAGAGGTAAGCCTCAACCAATGATTTGCCTTATTTTGGCTTCCATTTCCTCTCCGCGGCGAATCACTTCGGCAGGATTTGGGTGGTCACAGTGTGTCTGGGTCCAGTTATAAACTTCTTTGCCGATGCTCT